TGGCTCGGTGAGTCCTCCTGGGCAGGGACGGGCTCCTGCCCTTAGCCGTGGTACCATTCCCACATGCTGACAGCTCTCCCCCCTTCACCCCTCCCTAGTGCATCAACAACTGGCACCGACGCCATGGCTATACCAGTTCTCTGGAACTGCCTGATAACACCCTCAACTTCATCAAGAAACACCCACTGATGGAGGAGCAAGTAGGGCCTCGGTGGAGCCGGCCCTTGCTTGTGAAGAAGGACACTAACTTCACCCACCTGGTGGCTGACCGGGTTACAGGGCTTGATGGAGCCACCTATACAGTGCTCTTCATTGGCACAGGTAGGCATGTAGGTATATGGGTATGACGGCTAGAGGCTGGGTGAAGGCCTGTGTGGGGCAAGGAGATCTAGAGATGCCCAAGGGGCCCCATGCCCTCGCATTTACGCCTGTCCTCCCCCAACCCCCACAGGAGACGGCTGGCTGCTTAAGGCTGTGAGCCTGGGGCCCTGGGTCCACCTGATCGAGGAGCTACAGGTGTTTGACCAGGAGCCTGTGGAAAGCTTGGTCCTATCCCGGAGCAAGGTAGTAATCAGGCCTTACCCACCTGTCCCTACACCTTCCCTAGTTCTTTGCTTGGGAGTATGGGGGTGGGGAGGCACTCTGGCACACCTCGCTTAGCTTGGGTGAGTTCCAGGAAACGAGTGCTAACGGAATCTGTGCTCCAAAGCCGTTATATATAGCCAGGTCCCTGCGGGGCTGTATTCCCAGCATTGGGCCTTGGCAGCTGCTCTCCGCGCTTCCTTCAGACCCTTTGAGGTTGTGCTGGGCCTCTGCTACATACAGCCTCTTCTCTGATGGTGCCACTGTGTTTGCTCATGATGCCCTTGTGATGCCCTCGTGATGCCGGCTTTCCTACTGGCTGCCAGTTGCCCTCCAGTCCCAGCCCGTGCACCGTTCGCCCGAAGTGCTACCCTCCCTTCTGGCCTGTTTGTGACACCCCTGAACTTTCACGTGCTTACCTTGGACCAACTATCGCGGCTCAGATTGTTCCCCACGACATGGAATGATGGCAGAAGGAAAGTCTGTAGTTGAAGAAACACACTGATTGGCAGTCACCATTCAAACAGGGGAAAACACCTTATGCTATGCTCGTGCTATTGTGAGGGCTCACGGGCGTAGCGGAAAACACACTTCCTGCACTATTTATATTGTACTGGAGTGTGTGTGTGATTATATTCCTCAGCCTCATGGTTCTGCTGTTCCTAAGAAGGTCACATCTATAAGGTGCTTAGGATTGTGCCTGGCTTGTAATAAGTCTGCTGTGCATTCTTTGGTCCTTCGATTGCTCTCCTCAGACTTTGGCCCTGCCCCCTTCCTGCTTTGGCTCCTTTTGCCCTTTGCTCCCGTGTAGCAGTCTGAGCTGCCTCTGGGCCATGTCCCGGCCTGGCTGACCGCCCTGTGCCTCGCTTCTCTTGCAGAAGCTTCTCTTTGCAGGCTCCCGCTCTCAGCTGGTTCAGCTGCCCCTGGCCGACTGCGTGAAGTACCGCTCCTGCGCAGACTGTGTCCTCGCTCGGGACCCCTACTGCGCCTGGAGTGTCAACACCAGCCGCTGCGTGACCGTGGGTGGCCACTCTGGGTGAGTGGATCTCTGCACATGCCGGGACCCGGGGTGTAGGGCGGCGGGGTGGTTGGAGCCAGGATGCTCATAGACGCTGCTTCCGCAACCAGGTCCTTGCTGATCCAGCACGTGACGGTCTCAGACACCTCGGGCATTTGTAATCTCCGTGGCAGTAAGAAAGGTGAGCTGTCTTTTTTGTCCCTCTCCCGGTAGAACGGGCCCTGGGGTTCCTGTGCTAACTCTGCTTTCTCTTTCTCTACTGCTGCAGTCAGGCTCACGCCCAAAAACATCACCGTGGTGGCAGGCACAGACCTCGTGCTGCCCTGCCGCCTCTCTTCCAATTTGGCCCATGCCCGCTGGACCTTTGGGGGCCGGGACCTGCCTGCGGAACAGCCCGGCTCCTTCCTCTATGACGCCCGCCTACAGGCCCTGGTCGTGATGGCCGCCCAGCCCCGCCATGCCGGAGCCTACCACTGCTTTTCGGAGGAGCAGGGGGCGCGCCTGGCTGCCGAAGGCTACCTGGTGGCTGTGGTGGCGGGCCCTTCGGTGACCCTGGAGGCACGGGCGCCCCTGGAAAACCTGGGGCTGGTGTGGCTGGCTGTGGTGGCCCTGGGGGCCGTGTGCCTGGTGCTGCTGCTGCTTGTCTTGTCCCTGCGCCGGCGGCTGCGGGAGGAACTGGAGAAAGGTGCCAAGGCGGCCGAGAGGACCCTGGTGTACCCTCTGGAGCTGCCCAAGGAGCCCACCAGCCCCCCCTTCAGGCCTGGCCCGGAGACCGATGAGAAACTCTGGGATCCTGTCGGCTACTACTACTCGGACGGCTCCCTCAAGATTGTGCCTGGACACGCACGCTGCCAGCCCGGGGGCGGGCCCCCTTCTCCACCGCCGGGCATCCCGGGCCAGCCCCTGCCTTCTCCGACCCGGCTTCACCTGGGGGGCGGGCGGAACTCAAATGCCAACGGCTACGTCCGCCTGCAGCTGGGAGGGGAGGACCGCGGCGGGCTCGGGCACCCGCTGCCGGAGCTGGCCGACGAACTGAGGCGCAAGCTGCAGCAGCGCCAGCCGCTGCCGGACTCCAATCCCGAGGAGTCCTCGGTATGAGGGGCCCCCGCCGCCTCCCAGGGGCGGCGTGGGAGGCACGGCTCCTCCTTTTGCACAGGCACCAGCTACCTCAGGGACATGGCGCGGGCGCCTGCTCGGCCTGGGACAGGCCCCGCCCAGCACCCGTCCGGCCATGAGGACCTGCTCTGCTCAGCACGGGCACTGCCACTTGGTGTGGCTCACCAGGGCACCAGCCTCGCAGAAGGCCTCTTCCTCCTCTCTGTGAGGGGCTGTGAATCACGGACACACGGGACCCCAGCAGCCAAAACTTTTCAAGGCAGAAGTCAAGAGATGTGGGTGTGTTTGTATCTGTATGTGTGTGTATGTGGGTGTGTGCATGTGTGTATGTGCGTGTGTGACGTAGTCTTTGTTTCTCTGTGTGTGCCGGTATGTTGTGTGTGTGACAGTCTTCCTTTTTCTGTCGAGTCTTCCCTTGGCCTGGGGGTCCTCCTGGTGAGTCATTGGAGCTATGAAGGGGAAGGGGTTGTATCACTTTGCCTCTCCTACCCCCACCTGTCCCCGGTGTGGGGCAGCGATGTACATATGGGGGTGGGCTGGGCAGGGTGCTGTGCCCCTTTTGGGGGGTCCAGGGCTCTGGGGTGGGCCTGGTCCTGCTCCCAGGGCTGTGAATGTTTTCAGGGTGGGGGGAGGGAGATGGATTCTCCTGTGTGTTTGGGGCAAGGGTGGGAGGGGCCTCCCACTTGGCCCTGGGGTTCAGTGGTATTTTATACGTGTTCTCCCTTACAGGGCTGGGAAAGGTTGTGTGGGGGGAGGGGGAGGGAGGAGAGAGGGTGGGCATGCTGTGGATATTGCATATCCTCTCCCAGCCCTAGGAGGAGGGCTCCTAACAGTGTAACTTATTGTGTCCCCGCGTATTTATTTGTTGTAAATATTTGAGTATTTTTATATTGACAAATAAAATTGAGAAAACGGTATCCCTGTGGTAGGGAGAAGACGTTTGGGCTCCAGCATTCTGGGCTGGACCAGCCTCCCCTCCCCACAGTTCTGGAGCAGCTGCCCCTAATGTTGTCCCTGCCTGCGTGCCTGTGCCCCTCTCCAGTCAGGGAATAGCCCAGACTCCAGTGTTTTCCCACAGTGGTAGCTGTGGGGCTGGGAACCAGACCAAGGCCACAGCCTCTTGAGAACCAGCTTTGAATTGTGGCCAAAGGGAGACGTTAGGGCACTGGGAGGCAGGGAGGGTGGAGAGGGGCCTGGCTTCCCAGAACTCTGGGAAGGGGAAGTGGGAGTGAGGGGCAAAAGGAGGGGAACTTCCTAGAAAGAGCTTAAGGTTGTCTGGACTGGCTTGTGTGAGGATGGGGCTCCGAACCGGCTTAGGGGAAGGAAGGCTACCTCCATCCTACCTACCCCCCAGGAATGTTAGTCCCGAGTGCCTCAGCTGTGTGGAGCGTGGAACCTCCCCACTACCACCCAGTGTTCACCAAGCCATCGTCCCATCTAAGCAGTGATACCGGGAGCCCCCAGATACCTGTAAGGAGAACAAGACCCAGTTTGGATTCTATAATTCATGCCCACAGACAGAGATGGTCGAGGTCGAAGTGAAAAGTCCTCCCCCACACGTGACCGGTCCGGAGGGCCTGTGGTGGCTGAAAGGGGCGGCTGCCCTGGGGGTCCTTAGCTGTAGGAAAGGGCTGTGATCTGGAGACTTCTTGGTACGCTAAGATTCCTGCATAATCAATAAACGTCTGCTCTGAGGATCTTGATATGTGGAGATTGATTCGGTAAACTAGTTTCCCACTGTGGAATTGGAGGGTCGGCAAAACCCAACGGCCCGACCCTGTCCTTGGGGCTTATAAGCTAAGTGGCAAGACAAGTTGCGACTCCCTGCCTCCCACGGGGTTTGAGGAAGGAGGGGGGAAGCGAGGTCACTGGGCCTTGAGGGGGTGTGGAAAGACAGGGCGGAGGGCCTTGGGGCGCGACCCGGCGGCTCCCTGCCCTGGGGAAACCGGTGGGACATAGAAAACCCGGAGGGCTAGGCTCTGACAGGCGGCCGCGCCCGCCCGCCGCGTCCCCACGCCCTATGCGGGCGTCGTCCGCCGGGAGTCGGAGGCGAGGGAATCCAGCGCGGCGGCCTCCGCACTCCGCGCTTGGCCTGGGCCGCCCCCTCGCGGCCGCCTCGGAGCGCAGCGGGGCGCCACAAGCCCCGCCCCGCCGTTTCCATTGGTTCCCGAGCCAAAGCCCGGCTGGGTGGGCCTCGGAGGAAAGCCTCGGCCGCGGGGCGGGCGCGTCCGGGAGCTGGTGCTGCCTCTGCAGTGTCCGCTCCGCCCACCTGCCGCGGCCGCGCGTGCGCACAACAGTCGGGGGCAGGGGCGGGCGCCAAGGCCGGCATGGCGGCCCCGCGGCCCTGCACCGATGGCCCGTGCTGCTCTCGTCCGGGTGGGGCGTCCGGCGTGCAGCAGACGCTGCAGGAGATGGACTTCGACAGAGGTGAGGCTCCTGGCCGTCTCCAGGTCGCGGGACAAGGAGATGGCCGAGAAGGGGGAACCCGAGGGCTGCAGCAGTCCTGGTGGGAGTCCGGGGAGAGGAGGCGGTGGGCTCCCGGCCCCCGCGTCAGTGAGATTCCCTCCAGGCACCTGGCAGGGGCCCGGCCACTAGAAACTTTGTCTCGCGTACAGGTTGGGAAACTGAGGCACTGGTTTCGGTAACTTTCCCAAGTGGTGGGGCAGAATTCGTTTCCTCAGCTGGTGCGCCCCCTGGAGACTCGGGCTCCCTCGGATGTCTGGGGGGGGCCGGGCCGCAGAATCAGCAGCTCGGGGTACTGCAGCTACCCGGAGGGCATGGGGTTTCAGAGGGGGCTGCGCTGCGAAGGGAGCTAACATTCTGACCTCAGGTGTGAGCCCCAGAGTGTCGGGGCCTGTAGGCTTTCGATAGGGCACATATGGCCCTCAACGCAGCTGATGTTATCCCTACCTTTGGGGCCCCGAGAAGTAACTCTTTTACCCCAGACTGTAAGGAGATTATCGCCAGTGAGGAACAGAGTAAAACTGCAAACCAAGTCATCTCTTCTTTGTCTCTTCTTGGGAAGCTGTGTGTTCTCTCTGTGCAGAGGCAGCTTGTGCAGTAATAACGCTGTCAGCAGTTGTTGGGTAGATGCGACTGCTTTATGTGCATTCTGAGCTAACGTACTGTCACGTGACTCCTGCACCTGCTTCCTTCCCTCCGCTTCTGCCACCCTCTGGGGTGCTGAGGCAATTCCCTCCTGGGCCTCTGCTCCTTCCACTCCGCCCTCCTGCGCTGTTTTCTTCTCTCCATGGAGGCCGGAGTAACCTTTTGAAGGTATTAAATCAGACAGTTTCATTGCTCCTAGAATAAATTCAGCTTCCCTTCATGGCCTACAGAACGGTGGGGTCTGATCCCTGCCTGTTCTACTTCTCTGCCCGCATTTTATTTCTCATCCTTTTCTTTCCCCAGTCACTGCGCTTCAGCCACACGGGGCTCGATTTTGGTTTCTCAGACCTGCAAGCTCTCTTTCTGACTTCAGGGCATTTGAACTTGCTGTCCCAGCTCCTTGGAATGAACTTCCTCCCACGTCAGGCTAGCTGATCGTTTTCTTTCTGGTCACCTCAGAGAGATCCAGCCTGAACACCCCATTCTAGTAGTTCTCAACTGGGGTCAGTTCTGATCCCAAATGGTCTTTGGCAATGTCTGGAGACAATTTCAGCCGTTACAACTGGGAGGGTGCTACAGGCATCTTGTAGGTAGAAACTGGCCTACATCCTCCAATGCACAGGACAGTTCCTCATAGCAAAGAATTACCTGGCCGAAAATGCCGGTTGTGCTGCTATTGGGAAAGAAACCTTGCCCTATCCAAAGTAGGGCCCCCTCCTCTCCAGGTTACTCTCATATATTACCTTGCTTCTATGAAAGCAGTTTTCACGACCTGGCATTACTTTGTTTTACTTATTTATTATCTATGTCCCACACATGGGAAAGATCCTCATCTGTTTTCTTGTGTGGATTTGTTTTCCCCCTTCATATCTACTCTCTGGGCTTATTTTCCATTTTCCTGAAGTATATCGTTTGAAGTTTTTTTCAGTGAATATGCTTCTCCAACATCCATTCATATTCTCTCTCGACTGGTATAAAAGTCTAGATTGACAATTATTTTGTTATCCCTCAAACCTTTGGAAAGTCTGTTAAGAATTTTGCTGATAATCTGATTGTTATACTTCAATGACTGATGTTTCTTTCTTTCTAAATCTTCTCTTTATTCTTGATGCTTGGTCATTTCATCGTGGTAGATTTATTTTGATCACTTTCCTTGGGATTTAATGTGGTTTTTGTCTGAGAACTCATGGTTGCCTTTACTTGAGAATAATTCTCTTTTTATTTATGTTTAGTTATTTTTGAGAGAGACAGAGTGTGAGTGGGGGAGAGACAGCACAGAGCCAGACGCGAAGCTCGAACCCACAAACCATGAAAGCATGACCTGAGCCAAAATCAGATGCTTAGCCAACTGAGCCACCCAGGTGCCCCTACTGCAGAATAATTCTTAGATGTTATCTCTTCAGATATTTCCTCTCTCCCATTCTATCCAGTTTCTCTCTCTCTTTTTTTTTTTTTTTTAAACTCCTATTAGACACATGTTGGTACAATCTGTCTTCTGTGTTTCTTTATCTTTAATATTTTTATCTTTACCATTCTGCATTCTGGGTGATTTCCAAGTCACTCATTCTCTCTCCAGCTGGGTCTGCAGTTCTTTCCAACCATCTGTTGTTGTTCTTGCTTTATTTCAGTGATTCTATTTTTTAATTTACTAACTTTTTTTTTTTTTTTAAGTAATCTCTACACCCAACATGGGGCTCAGACTTAACGACCCAACCGAGATCACGAGTCACATGATCTGAGCCAGCCTGAGCCAGTCAGGTGCCCCTGACTTTTGTTTTAGATCTCCGTGTTCTTTTTTTCCCCCAAATGTTCTGTTGATTTGTGGATTCTATTCCTTCATCTCTGTGAACACATTAAATGTTGTTTTGTTTTCTTTTTTATTTAAAAAATTTTTTTAATTTTTTTTTTTTTTTTTTTTTTTTTTTGAGAGAGAGAGTGAGCACAAGTGAATGAGGGGCACAGAGAGGGAGACAGACTCTGAAGCAGGCTCCACACTGTCAGTGCATAGCCCAACACAGGACTCAAAAAACATGTGAACTGTGAGATCATGACCTGAGCTAAAGTCAGATACTCAACTGACTGAACCACCCAGGTGCCCCTGAATGTTGTTTTAAAGTCTTTTAGATTGTGTTATTATGGCTAATTTTTTTTTTTTTTTTTTTTTACAAATAGTTTATTGTCAAGCTGGTTTCCACTATGGCTAATTTTTAAAGCATGCATTTTTCCATTTGTTGTATTTGCTGACTGTCTCACATGGCAGTGGATTGCTTCTTATTTTACAACTTCTAATTTTTGAGCTCACAGGGTGGGTGGTGGGATGTCCTCTTTTGTAAGAGATTATCCACATACCTTTGTTGGCTTCTGAAGGTATTCTTATAAGACATTTTTTTTTAATTTTAATTTTTTGGTTTATTTTTGTTTTTTATTTTTTTTAAATTCTTTAATGTTGTATTTATTTTTGAGACAGAAAGAGACAGAGCATGAGCAGGGGAGGGACAGAGAGACAGGAAGATACAGAATCTGAAGCAGGCACCAGGCTCTGAGCTGATGGCACAGAGCCCGACACAGGGCTCGAAGCACAAACATGAGATCATGACCTGAGCCGAAGTCGGAGGCTTAACCAACTGAGCCACCGAGACACCCCTGACAATTTTTTTTTAAAGTTGCTTCTGTGCAGCCCTTATAACATTCACTTGTGTGGGTCCACATTTATGACAGATCCAGATTATAACATATCCTTAGCTTGGGGGTTCTGCTCCTGAGGGGGTATAAATAAATGTAGATCCCACATCTCCAAGTTGCTTGATTTTTTTTTTTTTTTTTTTTAGGTTTCTTCTGCCTGTGCTGTCTTCTAACATCTACTGAAATGGCGCTTCTTCTCATTTCCTTTTAAGTTTGTATTCAGATGTCACCTTATCAGAGATGCCATCCCTGACCACTGCTCATATCCCTTCTCTTTATTTCTCTTCATAGATCTTATTAGTACCACCTGACATATTTCATTATTTTTTTTTCTGGTCTGTCTCCCATAATTAGAATGTAGCCTCCATAAGACCAAAATTTGCAGGACGGGGGGAGCAGTAGAGATCAGTGATCTTTAATTCTTGGGGATCCCTAGTGTCCAGAAGAGGGCCAGATACACAGTAAGTATTCGGTAAATACTTGCGGAACGAGTGAAGTGCCTGTGCCTGGCAGCCTGCTTCCTGCTGCTATTCAGAACAGGAAGTAGAGATTTTCCAGCCCCCGTTCATCCATGATGTGGTACTTCCTGCCCCCCAGCTTTGTGCACAGAGCCTTGCTGTATCTATTCCCTGCCATGCACATAGCCTTTGATCCAGACCCTGCCCAGTTGTTCCAGTCAAAGCCTCTAAGATGTGTATCCAGAGACACCTGGGTGGCTCAGTTGGTTAAGTGTCCGACTTCAGCTCAGGTCATGATCCTGCGGTTTAGGGGTTCGAGCCCCACATCAGGCTCTGTGCTGACGGCTCAAAGCCTGGAGCCTGCTTCGGATTTTCTCTCTCTCTCTCTGCCCCTCCCCTCCTCACACTCTCTTTCAAAAATAAACATTAAAAAAAATTGTTTAAATGATGTGTGTCCAGTTACAAGGACTTTTAGGATTCTGTGGACTCAGTGCCTGCTCACCACTTTGGCTATGGTTTTCACCTTGTTCTGGAAATTGGCAGTGTCCTTCTCTTGCTTTTAAATTTGCCTATGTATCCAAATATTTTAAACATTACCTTATCCAACATTTGCACGTTTGAAGTGGTTTGAGGAAGGGACTTCTTTGCCCATTTCTGCCCTGATTAGACAAAGCCCCTTGTCTGTCTTTTCTTTTTAACATTTATTTATTTTTGAGAGATAGAGTGCAAGTGGGGGAGGGACAGAGAGAAAAGGAGACACAGAATCCGAAGCAGGTTCCAGGCTCTGAGCTGTCAGCACACAAGGCTCAAACCCATAAGTTGGATGCTTAACTGACAGTCACCCCAGGCATCCCAGCCCCTTGTCTGTCTTGTCCACAGCTACGTCACCACCTCCTAGGACAGCCCTTGGCACAGAGGAGATCTCAGTTAATATCTGTTGATGAAGAAATCCCCCATTTTATAGATGAGAAAATGGAGGTCAAGAGAAAGGAAGCACTAAAAGTCTCCAGTCATTCAGCATTATCCAGCACTTTGGTTGTCTTTCCACAGGAATCTGGTCAGCAGCCCTGAATGGAGACCTAGGTCGAGTGAAATATTTAATCCAGAAGGCGACAGACCCTAGCCAGCCTGACTCGGCTGGCTACACTGCTCTGGTGAGCTGGGGGAGGAGCACAGGGTCAGAGGAGGGAGAAGCTTCCACTTGGGATACCTGCTCCCTGTGGGGAAAGGGGTGATGTTGCCTTTATTCCCGCCCTTTTCTTCTCTTCCAGCAGGTTTTCTGTTTTAAGCATCAGGTGAACCTGTTTTTTTTTTTTTTAATTAGTGTTAAAGTGCTTTACATCAATAATTTCATTTTCCTAACAGTCCTGTGAAGTAGGAATAATTATTATCCCCATTTGCCTGTTGAGCAAACTGATGCTAGAAACGAAGAAGCTTGCCTAGGTCATACCGCTGATAGAGATAGTCTTGCTCAGAGCCCATGCGCTCACCTCCACCCACCCAGCCCTCGTTGCCTGCCTGGCCTCTGCTGTCTGACCCCGGTCTCTGTTCCCTGCAGCACTATGCCAGCCGCAACGGGCACTATGCCGTATGCCAGTTCCTGCTGGAAAATGGGGCTAAGTGTGATGCCCAAACCCATGGGGGCGCCACTGCTCTGCACCGGGCCAGCTACTGTGGGCACACTGAAATCGCACGGCTCCTGCTGGCTCACGGGTCCAACCCCAGGTTGGTAGATGACGATGGCATGACCAGTCTGCATAAGGTATGTCCCTTTCCCCCCTTCAAAAACTTGGTTTTTGTCATTATAAAACTTATAACATGTTCACTGTAGAAAACATGGGGAAAACAGAAAAGCAAAAAATAGAAAATGCAAATCACTTGTAATGTCAGTGCTTACCAATCATCACTTCAGGATTCATGTATAACTTTCCAGCATTTTTTCCTGTGCACATAAATTAGAATTAAATGTATGGCATCATTTGTTTTCTTTGACCTTTAGTGATGTGCCATGAATGCTTTTCCATGAAGTTAGTTTTCTAAAGCTCACATCTACTCTGGGGGCGGCTCCTGGCTGGCTCAGTCAGTAGAGCATATGACTCTTGATCTTGGAGTTGTGAGTTTGTGCCTTACATTGGGTGTAGAGATTACTTAAAAATCTTTTAAAAAAAAAAAAAAGAAAGAAAGAAAAAGTTGGATGAAGCTTACACCTACTCTGTCCTGTCCCTGTAGCCCACTTTCCATACTGTAGTCAGAGTGATCACTTAATTAACCCTCTGACCAGAAATACCTACACATGGTGAAGAGTGTGAAGAGTACAAAACAGTGCAGCAGGAAAAGGATTCTCTTCCACTCTGATGCCTGCTCCCTCGGTCTTCAGGGCACCTCCCTCCAGGCATCACTGTTACTGATTTCTTACGCTTCTTTGAGAAGTGGTTTATGCATGTTTATGGCATATGTGTATACAGTAATGTTCTCTTGCCTCTACTTGGTTTTCTCCCAGAGTGATGGTTTTTAAATTAATTCTGATCATGCCATACTTTAGAGGCCTTCAAGGCCTTAGGGGTTAGCTCGTGCCTTCCTCTCCAGTTTATCTTTTCCTTCCTTCCTTCCTCTCTCTCTCTTCCTTTCTCTCTCTCTCTTTCTTTTTAACTTACTTATTTAAACACCCAACACACACAGTAAAGAATATTTTGGAGGGCGCCTGGGTGGCTCAGTCAGTTGAGCACTGGGACTCAGGGCTCTTTGTTTCGGCTCAGGTCATGATCTCATGGTTCGTGAGATTGAGCCTTGTGTTGGGGCTCTGCACAGAGCCAGTTTGGGATTCTCGGTCTCCCTCTCTCTCTGCCTCTCCCCTGCTCTCGTGCACGCAGTCTCTTTCTCTCAAATTAAATAAACATTTTTTTATAAAAGAATATTTTTGGGGGCGCCTGGGTGGCTCAGTAGGTTAAGCATCTGACTTCAGCTCAGGTCATGATCTCACGGTCCGTGGATTTGAGCCCTGTGTCGGGCTCTGTGCTGACAGCTCAGTGCCTGGAGCCTGCTTCAGATTCTGTATCTCCCTGTCTCTCTCTGACCCTCCCCTACTCACGCTGTCTCTTTCTCTCTCAGAAATGAATAAAAACATTTTTTAAAAAATAAAAAAAATAAAGGAATATTTTTGAATTAGAGCCTGTGAAACACAATTCTGGATGTGAAATTTTATTATTTTGTAAATGTTTATTTTTAAGAGAGAGTGAGCAGGGGAGCAGCAGAGAGAGAGGGACAGAGGATCAGAAGTGGGCTCCGCACTGTCAGCACAGAGCCCGATGCAGGGCTTGAATTCATGAACTGTGAGATCATGACCTGAGCCAAAGTCGGACACTCAACTGACTGAACCACCCAGGGGCCCCTAGATGTGAATTTTTAAATAGAAAAATTGAAGTAGTTGACTGCATGACTTACCATCAGAACCTGTGGCAGACAGTTTTCGCCGTCCACCAAAAATTTGTGCTTACTCTTCATATTAGAGACATGTCTCTCAAAAGGGGCTCTGCAGTCCCTTTCAAATGGCTTTCAGTTCCCTCTAGCATGTAGTATGGCGAGTTCTCAGCGGTTAGAAGACGAGACACACTGATGAGCTTTCTTTTAGGAGCCGGTGTTCCTCCTCCACTTGCTTTCCCCTGCCACCCCAGGCAGTGACGGAGACACCTAGGGGTTGGCCAGCCCACAGCAGGCAGCCTGGACTCCCGAAGCGTGATAGGACAGGAAGGTGCTTGCTCAGGTACCATAGCCTTGAAATGTCGGGTCTGCAGAGATAGAGTTCTTATTTTTATTTATTTTTCCATCTGACTATTGAATAATACATATTATTATTTTTTAAATGTTTATCTTAGAGAGTTTTGAGAGACAGAGCGCAAGCGGGTGAGGGACAGAGAGAGAGGGAGACACAGGATCTGAATCAGGCTCCAGGCTCTGAGCTCTCACTACAGAGCCCAATGTGGAGCTTGAACTCACGAACCACGAGATCACGACCTGAGCCAAAGTTGGACGCTTAACCACTGAGCCACCCAGGTGCCCCTGTTTTTGTATTTTTTATACTTCATGATACCTCTTATATGAGGTATAGGCATACCTCAGAGATATGCAGACCACTATAATAAGGCAAGTCAAATGAAGTTTTTGGTTTCCCAGTATGTATAAAAGTTGTATTGTTCGATAGCATATTTAGCGTACACTAGTATTATGTAAAAAAAAAAAAAAAATATGTACCTTAATTTAAAAATACTTTATTGTGGGGCTCCTGGGTGGCTCAGTCAGTTAAGTGTCTGACTTCAGCTTAGGTCATGATCTCACAGTTTGTGGGTTTGGGCCCCATGTCAGGCTCTGTGCTGACAGCTCAGAGCCTGGACCCTGCTTCAGATTCGGTGTCTCCCCCTCTGTCCCTCCCATGCTCATGATCCGTCTCTCTCGCTCTCTCTCAATAATAAATAAACGTTAAAAAAATATATAAAAACCTTTATTGCTAAAAAAATGCTAATAATAACCATCATCTACTTTTCAGCAAGTTGTAATCTTTTTACTGGTAGAGGGTTTTATCTCGATGTTAATACCTGCTCAGGGTATCAGGGTAGTCACAGTACTGGCTGCTGAAGCACCAAGCCAGGAGCCACGGCACGTTCTTAAACTAAGACGACAAGGAAGTTTGCCACATTGATTGACTCTTCCTTTCACTTGAGCACTGAGAGCCCATTGTAAGCTTGTTACCTGGCTTAATTTCAGTATTGTTGTGTTTCAAAGAATAGGGAGGTGTGAGGAAGAGAAAGACTGGGGAACCTGTCAGTGTAGCAGTCAGAACACACATTTATCTCAAGTTCAGTATCTTACATGGGTGTGGTTCATGGCATTCCCAAATAATTACAGTAGTAACGTCAGAGATCAGTGATCACAGGTCAGCATAACAAATACAATAATGAAAAAGGTTGAAAATTTCAGGAAGTACGAAAATATAACAGGTACGAAGTGACCAAATGCTATTGGAAAAATGGCACCAGTAGACCTGCTCGATGCAGTGTTGCCACAGACCTTCAGTTTCTAAAAATACCTAGTACCTGCAGAGCTCACTAAAGTGTATCAAAACAAGTGCAAAGTGCAGCAAATAAGCTGTGCATATATATAAAATAGTCAAACCTAGAAGCAGAGAGTAGAATGGTGGTCGCCAGGGGGCAGTGGGGAGGGGGGAGTTGCTGTTCAACTGGCATGGTCTCACTTAGGCAGGTTGGTTGAGTTCTGTGGATCTGCACTGTGCCTGTAGTTGGCTGTACTGTGTGGGACAGTCTACATTCGTTGAGAAGGGCAGGGTGCCTGGCTGTTCCAGTCACTAGAGCACGTGACTCTTGATCTCAGGGTTTTGAGTTCAAGCCCCACATTGGGCATGGCTTTAAAGGGGGGGAGCTATCATTTAACAATAAAAAGAACAGTTACTGAGGTGCCTGGGTGGCTTAGTTAAGCATCGGACTCTTTGATTTCAGCTCAGGCCTCATGGTTCATGAGATCAAGCCCCGTGTGGGGCTCTACACTGACAGCACAGAGCCTGCTTGGATTCTCTCTCTCCCTGACCCTCTCCTACCCATGCATGTGCATACACACTCTCTCTCAAGTAAACATGGAAAAAAAAAAAGAACAATTACCAAAATAATTAATTAATATGTTAAGGTAGATCTCAGGGTGCCTTACTGGTTCAGTCAGAAGAGCATATATGTGACTTTTTTTTTTTTTTAAATATTTTTTTAAAAATTTATTTCTAGGAGAGAGAGAGGGAGAGAGAGAGAGACAGTGTGAGCAGGGGAGGGTCAGAGAGAGAGGGAGTCACAGACTGAAACAGGCTCCAGGCTCTGAGCTGGCAGTTAGCACAGAGCCCGATGCCGGGCTCGAACCCACGAACCGCGAGATCATGACCTAAGCGAAAGTCGGACGCTTAACCAACTAAGCCCCCAGGCGCCCCTATGTGACTCTTGATCTTAGAGTTGTGGGCTTGAGCCCCCTGTTGGGTATAGGGATTACTTATAAATCACAAATTAATTAATTAAGAAGGTGGGTCCCATGTGAGGTGTTCTTACCACAATAAAAAATTGGTGTGGAGGGGCGCTGTTTCAAGGACCAACTTAATTTTTAAGAAACCAGATGTGAGCATCTCATCATCCAAGGACTTGCAGATTTATTACACTTGTATGCACTTCAAGGGAAGATGTCAACCTTTCCTCCAGTTTATCTTTCTTTTTTTCCCTAAGCTTATTTATTTATTTAAGTAATCTCTACACCCAGTGTGAAGCCCGAACTCACCACCCCAGTGTGTAGAGTTGCACGCTCTTCTGACTGAGCCACCCAGGTGCCCCTGTCTTTAGCTGCCGTCCCCTTGTCTCTTACACTGATGCCCACTTTCTTTTCTTTAATGTTTATTTATTTTGACAGAGTGCATGCGAGTGGGGGAGGGGCAGAGAGAGAAGAGAGAATCCTAAGCAGTGTAGAGCCAGACGCGGGGCTGGATCTCACAAACCATGAAATTCTGACGTGAGCTGAAATCAAGAGTCAAACGCTTAACCAACTGAGCCACTCTGTCACCCCTCAGGCCCAGTTTTTGACCCTATTATGGTGACACTTCAGGACCTTACATGTCAAGCTATTCCCTTCTGGATGCCTCTCCTCTCCCGGTTTCCATCTGGCTTGTTTCCGTCTTTCCCTCTGGATCTCAGCTTCTACATCACACACACACAGAGCCTTCCTGTTCCTTAGACGTGGGTAGCTCACCCATGTGTATGTGCAGAAGCATCCTGCACTTGACTTTTCCTAACTTTTCTCCTTGGAATTCCTTTGAATTCTCTCTCCCTAGAGATAGCTAAGACTTGATCTTGTTTACTGTTGTAGACCCCCGCTGTTGGCCTAGGTGCCCAATGAATATGTGCTGGGTGAACAATTGGATGTTGTTTTATTTTCTTTTAAGATCCTTGCCAGTTGGAGAGGCAGATTGCTTACTTCTTAATGGTCCAAACTGGTGTTGCCCAGACATTTTGTTCTAACTCCCATGGAGGGTTTGCATGGGCAGGACACTGCCGCAGGTATTGCTGGCCGGTGTTGCTACCCATGGCGGGAGGTGTTTTCAGTGCATATCCAGCCTTTTTCTCTCATTCAGGGGATGCACATGTGTGAGGAATAGGAATTGTTTTTTCTTTTTCAAAAAAGCTACTTGAAAACTCTGGTACTTGTTTTGAAAAAATTCTTTGGAATGCATCTTACAACTGCACACAACATACCACTGCCTGGATTGAGGCAACAAAATTGAGAACCTTGGGTCTGTACTTCTCAAGAGGACTTGCTAAATAAGGATCTGGATTCAAATTGCAGACCGTATTTGCTGCTAATATTAATTTTGACACCTCTCAAAAGCCCCTGTGGTGTGTCAGTCTGTCTGTTGGGAGGAGCAGGGAATTGAGTGGTATTAACACAGTTAAGAGTTGAGACTTGGCAGTCAGGTGGACCTTGTTTAGAGTCCTTGGCTGCCACACTAGCTCTGTGACCTTAGACAAGTCACTTAACTTGTATAAACCTCAGTTTCTTCATCTGTAAAATGGGAGTGATGATAGTTCCTATCTTTGATGGTCATTGTGAACATTAAATAAGCTACTCTATGTACCTCTCTTTTCTGGAGGAGTTAAATTAAAAATTGACACCCACGTTGGAATCATCTGTTTCAAAGGAAGAGGAGAAAGCTGGGAACCTGAGCCCATTTTTCTTGGCTCATCTGAAAGTTCCCAGAGGCTATGTCTGGTGTATCTTGTGCGCGTAGTGCCCAGTGCCCTGTAGATGATTTGAACATCTGTAAAAGACACTTAGTTCTAAGGTTCTATATTTGTTTTTAATGTGCAGCCCTAGACAGAGAAGAATGGCCACTGAGCAAAGGACAGAAGAAAGAAAAACTCAAGCTAACTGCTGGAAGCACTAGAGAATTCCACCAGTCTTTATGCAAATTGTTGGGATGTGGTAGGAATTAGGGGAAATCTACTCAAGCAGCCAGTGTCTGCCTTTTCACAAGACTTTTCTTAGGACCAAGAGATTCCCAGAAGTGGATCAAGAAAGGGCAGGGCCCAGTGAGGGAATGGCTCTTGATTCAGGTCTCTCTCTCCACAGGCTGCTGAGAAGGGTCATATGGACATTTGCTCCCTCCTGTTGCAACACAGCCCAGCCCTGAAGGCCGTCCGGGATCGGAAGGCACGACTGGCATGTGACCTGCTGCCCTGCAACAGTGACCTATGGGACCTGCTGGCCAGCTGAACTGCCACCCTTCTGCTGTCTCAGGCTGCCATGCAAGGGTACAGAGACTCGCCCTCTCAGCCCCTGCCTTGGTCAGCATCCTTGCTGCAGGGTAGGAAACTGAGGCCTGAAGAGCCCCATCCTGGCCACTGTGGAAGCGAGGGAGTAGATTTAGGGGGGCTGCGAGTGCTTAAGCCTGGACAGATGATCATATTCTAAATTAGTTCATGTGGAAACATCTATCCCTTTGGAAAAAATAAAGTTGTATCCTTACCTCATCCTGTGCACAAAAATAAATTTCAAGTAAAGACCGAAGTATAAAAAGAGAACTATGTAAGTATTAGAAGAAACCACGGAATATATGACAAATTAAAAGCTGCTTTCTAGCTGAGTGCCCTTGGAAAAAGTCACTTCACCCATCTGTCCCTGCTTCGTCATCTGTAAGGTGAGGATACTTATAATAGGGCCTGCCTCAGGCGCCTTGTTTGTGGGGGTTCAGTGAGTGACTCTATGGAGAGCACCAGAGAGTGTGCTGGGCACACTACGGGCAGTGTGTTGGAGCACCCACTTCCTCAGCATGCATTAATTTTAACAATCTGATAGATTAAAAGTGCTCTTGCTTTATTTTGCATTGCTGATTATCAGTGAAGTTGACTACCTGTTTTCTCTGAACTTCCTGTCCATGCCTATTTAAAGATTTTCTTCCTTTTATTAATTCATAGGAATTTGTATATTCTGGATATTAATCCTGTGGGGTTTTTTTTCTTTGTTACTATCACTTTGTTGGTTTCTGCTCATGGAAATTGGTACATCCACTGTAGACAGCACTTTGACAGTATCTATTAAAATGTGAGTGAGTAGAGCCAATAATTTGATTTCTCTGTAACTACTTAGAGAAATATCCTTATATACAAAGATGTTTACTTAGAGACATATACAGAGTTGTGCATTGGAGCATGTGGTGTAATTTAAAAAAAAAAAAGAGGAAGGGAGGGAAACAAGTGAAGTGCTCCCGGTTAGGGCAGTGACACGTGTCATTTGGGGGCAGCGCGGCAGAGTGCAGTGTAGGCTGATGTGGAAAGTGTGCCAAGTTGTGATCACAGTGTGATGCCTCTTAAAACCTGGCAATAAAAACATGGCTGTACATCCACAAAACCTAGAGGAAAAAAGTCAGGAGGATATGTAACATCGGTACCCGTGGTGTCCCCTGGGCCGCTGTGGCAGGAGAGGCTCATCAAGTGCATCTTGAGTTTTGTTTGTTATCTTTGGGTTTTTTTCAAGGAGTAGTGTTTTGGGAAGAGTCCATACCAGTTCATTTCATGTGGAAGAAACTAGCTTTACTGGTGAGAGTTTGAGTCCGTGGCAGACAGTTGAGTCCAGAGCTGAGGTCTGTCTCATCTTACCGTCACTCTCGTCTAGATCATTCTCCGTCTGCATCCTCAAAGGCAAGAAATCACCTGAGACAAAATCCCTGACGCATAAGTACCAAGTTTCTTTAAAAACCTCCAGGCTCCCTAGGTCTCAAAACTTGGATGTATTTACCAAGAAGCCAGCTGTGGGTGGAACCATTCCCAGCCCTTTGGGGCCTTGGGCTGTCCTTGACCTGTAGTTCTTCCCTGCCACTTGTTCAGGTCATCTCTACTCATGTAGCTCCAATTCTAGAATCTTATACTACTTATCAGATTTCCTTTCAAAGGTCAAGGCAGAATGCAAGGCACAGCTGGGTGCAGGACATGTTTGGCATCTTCTAGAGAATTAAGTTTGACTTTGGTGGCTTCAGACAGGTTGCTTTGTGACTGGATTAACGGTTGGCATTCTGTACTCGGACCTGGAGTGGGTCTGGGTCCAGCTTCGCTGTGGAGAGGCACGCTCCCTGCCAGGAGAGCGTCGGGTAGGGGACCTGCACGTATGGGGGTTGGAAGGCTTTTCAAGAGGCGTGAGGTGCTGATGACAGGCTGGACGTGGCTCCGGGTGGTGGTAGAATTTAAAACACTGGCTCTCAGAGTGCTGAGGGAGAGGAAACAGGAACTGTAAGGGAGAAGTGGGGGCCGCTCGGGGAAGGAAACCAGCAAGAGCAGGGAGGGCAGTCTTGAAACTGGAAGTAAAAAGCTGCTTGAAGCCTGATTTCCTCCTGTAGGTGCCATGAGGACTCCTGACGCAGAGGCCAGCCTCTTGAACCTGTCCTCCTGGAGGACTTCTCTAGGATTCTGGCCTCCTTTTGCTTAGGACAGGCTGGCTGGGTCTTTCAGGATCTCAGGCAGCTAGACCTGCTGCAACACGGAAGCTCACACTCGACCCCTCTCTAGTGGCGCAGGCACCCCTGGCCATGTGTTTATTGGCTGAACCGCTCCTGGGCAGATGCACGAGTGGGTGTCTGAGAATGCACCTGACTCAGCTCAAAGCGGTTCCTGCTGCCTTCATCGGGCTGTCTGCCCACACTGATATTTTGGTCAGTGTTACAGAGCCACTGAGCTATCTGGCCCAGGCAGAAGCCTCCGGCCCGCCCTGTCCCCAGGAGCTAGCTCTCTATAAAAGGGCCGAGCCTCTCAGCTCCTCTCACTGGGGGTGCGACGAGCAGGGGGGACCATGGATGTCATCAGCATCCAGCAGTTGGTAAGGACGAGGGGCAGAGGGCTGGGAGGCCAGGCGATTGCCTGGAAGCTTGCAGGGCGGCTCGGCAGAACGGGGCGGTCCAGCTAGTGGAGGGCAGGCAGCTTCTGTCCTATGGTCTAAGGATCAGGTTTTAGGAACAGAAACGTCGTGGTTTTCTGGTGTGGCAGCCCCGCTCTGTGAGTAGCAAGAGAGGGAAGCAATGGGAAGATGTTGAGTGACAGCAGACATGACAACCCTCGAGTTTAGTGAGTTTTGCCCTGGACTGTGATGGCAAAAGAGGAATTGGAAATGGTAGGTTACGTTGCAAGACATGAACGTAGCTGGGGTGTGGGTTTAGCTCAGTTGCTATGATAGCCACTGCTCTGGAAATGGTCCAGAGGGTCTGGCTGCTTTGTTTGGGGGGGGGGGGGGGGGGGAAGGGTTCTCTTGAGTTCCCAGGCAGTGAAAGAAGTGGTGACACCAGTGACACTTAGGGGTATGTGTTTTTTTTTTTTTTTTTTTTTTTATTTCTAGGAGAGAGAGAGAGACAGCGTGAGCAGGGGAGGGTCAGAGAGAGAGGGAGTCACAGACTGAAACAGGCTCCAGGCTCTGAGCTGGCAGTCAGCACAGAGCCTGACGCGGGGCTCGAACCCACGAACCGCGAGATCATGGCCTAAGCAAAAGTCGGACGCTTAACCGACTAAGCCACGCAGGCGCCCCTCTTAGGAGTATGTGTTCTGGTGAGGCACGAGAGGCCCAGGACTCAGGGTGCCCAGCATGCCCCTCTGCAGGCCGGTGCCTCGGTGGGCCCAGCCCGGTGCAGCCTCTGCGGGGAAGTGGGTTGCAGGGCCTGAGGAAAGTTAGGTTCCAGCGTTTGCTTGAGAAAAGGATATAGTTAGTTCTGCATGGCTGGGAGCCCTCTCTGCCATCTCTCATCCCGTTTTCCCTCTCCCCCAGTATCCTTATTCCTCAGTGCTCCCCAGCTCCTGAACCCCCAGCGGCTGCGGGGGACAGGAACAGATCATGGTATGGTGGGTCCTGTCCCAGCAAAGTCCCAGTACCTGGTTTCCTCCTCAGCCTCGGGAGCTAGGTGCTAGTGTTACGCCATTCTAGTAATGAAGAACCAGAACTTCACAAGAGCCAAGACGTAAACCCAGGAGTTCACCATTTTACCCAGGAGGCATCTCCTGTGTCCCCCCGAGTTCAGGGTCAGGTGGCAGTACGGCGTGGTCTGGTAGGAACACCAGGAGGGAAGCTGAGGTGTCACATCTCCTGAGCATACCTGGACACGAGCCCAGCAGTATAAATAGATGTGGCGTCACGCGCCCGATCGCGTCCTGCTGACAGGACGGGGGAGGCGGCATTATCCTGGGCCCCAGGCAGCGCTACAGGAGGTGAGAGCCAACAGCCACGGGTGGCAGGGAGCATGCCAGCGGAGCGCCAGGGAACTCTGCGAAGGGTCAGACCACTGGACATCCACAACGCCGATCTCTGTAGGTCTGCCCTTACCAAGATCCCTGTGGTGTGTGCTGTGTTCTCTAAGGACTCCGTTTTCCTCATCCTGCTCCTACAGGTATGTGGAGAAAGAGATGAAAGGAAAGCGTTGGGATGTGGACATGGCATTGCTGGTCATGGAGGCGGGCCCAGAGCCTGGAGGCTGGGAGCCCAAGAGGCTGCGGCCCAGGAGCAGTGGAAACTCGAAGAAGAGAAGAAGAAGAAAGTAAGAGGTGCTGGGGGCCCAGCGGGTACCAACCCCAAGGCTCAGGAGTGAGGGCCTCAGGCAGCTGGGGTCCCTCTGGTGGGTGGGAGGCGTGAGGGTGAGCCCAGCCAGGAGCCTGCCCCTGAGGCTTCCGTGACCAAGGCTGACTGCTGGTGTGGTCTGGTCTTGTGCCTCAGCTTGAGAGATTGAACAACTCCAGACTGAATCTGGAGACCCTGGCTGACTTGAAAAACTTGGTTCAAAGACGAAGAGAAAAGCGACTGAAACGAAGAGTCCCCCCTAGGGCACCTGACCCCACGGTTGAGGTAAGTGAAGTCGGGGTGGGGGGCGAGCACACCAGGGGCTGGAGTCTGTGAGGGAGCGCTTCCTGTCCCCATGGGAGGGCTCGGGGACGAGCGGACGCTGCTAGCCACCAGCTCACCACCAGGGCCTGCCGAGCTGAATGAAAATCCATTTTGGAGGCCGCACAGCCCCATACTTGTTTGCTGGGGGACCATACACAGGGTGGCTTGGACAGAAGGTTATTCTCCCAGTTCTGGAGGCTGAAGTCTGAGCTCCAAGTATCAGCAGGGTTGGGTTGTTTCCTTGTGAGGGCTGTGGGGGGGAGTCTATCCCTGCCAGTCTTCTAGCTCCCAGGGCTTCGTGGCTAGCTTCGGTGTTCCTTGGCTCGTGGGCGCATCACCCTGATCTCTGCCTGAGTTCACATGGCACTCTCCCTGCGTGCGTGCTGTGTCCACATGTCCCCTTTCATTAAGGACACCACTCATACTGGATTAGGCCCCATTTTAGTCCAGTGTGACTTCATCTTAACTGATTCTAGCTGCAGAGACCCTATTTCCAAATAAGGCCACATGATAAGGTCCTGGGGTTGGGACTTTGGAGGAGGGGGCGAAGGCAAACCATAATGGGCATAATGGACGGCTCGTCAGTCCCAATCTCCGGGGTTGGGGGGGCACGGTTAAGAATCTCTGATTTGGGGATACCTGGGTGGCTTAGGTAAGCAACCGGCTATCGGTCTGGGCTCTGGTCACAATCTCAACAGTTCATGAGTTCGAGCCCTGCATCAGGCTTTGTGCTGGCAGTGCAGCAGAGTCTGCTTGGGATTCCCCCCCACCACCACTCTTCTGCTCGCATGCACTCTCTCTCAAATTAATTAAAAGAAAAAAAAGATTAAAAAACTACAAGCCACCAGCCAATATGCTAGTCTTTAGCCAGCTCTCTGGGGCCTGCTTGGCTACACTGGTGGAGTAGCAGAGCCCCAGAGGCCTGTGGTTTTGGGAAGTGATTTGGTCTCATCCTTCAACTTACCCCGCCGCAGCCCCAGGCCCAGCTGGAGTCTGTGGACCTGGAGATGTTCCTGAAGGCAGCTGCCGAGAACCAGGAGGCCCTGATTGACAAGTACCTGACAGACGGAGGGGACCCCAATGCCCACGACAAGGTAGTTGGAGTGGGGTAAATCAGACTGCAGCGTCAGCAGCTGCAGGGGTGTGGTCTTCAGGGTGTTTTAGTCCCAGCCTAGGAAACTGCACGCCATTTCTGTTTTATGAGGCACAAGCTACCTCCCGAGCCGGGAGAGGGGGCCCCTCTCGGCGTGATCAGGCAGCAGGCACATCTGTTCAAGGAACCTAGTACTGGGAATAGGATCCGGGGCAGGGCCTTGAGGGGGTGGCTGTGCTCCCTCTGCCTCATCTCCCGTCTCCACCCTCAGCTGCACCGCACGGCCTTGCACTGGGCCTGTCTGAAGGGTCACAGCCAGCTCGTGAACAAGCTGTTGGAGGCAGGTGCCACTGTGGACGCTCGCGACCTGGTGAGAACTGGGAAGGCCTGTCTTCACAGTAGACGCCCTGCTTTGCACACAGCACGTCGGTGCGCTGATGCTTTTGCTTTGTAGCTGGACAGGACCCCCGTGTTCTGGGCCTGCCGTGGAGGACACCTGGACATCCTCAAAGAGCTGCTTAACCATGGAGCCCAGGTCAATGCCCGGGACAAGGTGAGGGGGCCCTGCTGTGGGGTGGTCTGCTAAAGAGCAGCAGGTGCGTGGAGTACACAAGAGCTCAGGCCGTTCCCGGAGAAGAGAAAGCACAGCCTTCTGGGGCCGCGATGAGGCCTCACCACTTGGGGTGGACACAGATTCTCATTCACTCCCTTAGATCTGGAGCACCCCCCTGCATGTGGCCGTGCGCACAAAACACTGTGACTGCCTGGAGCATCTCATCGCGTGTGGGGCCCACATTGATGCACAGGACAAGGTAAGGTGCTGGGGCTTTTGGACTTGGGCCAGCTCCACCCGGGTACAGTGACTGAGGGAGCCGGAGCTCAGGGACAGCACTTGCCAACGTGAACCTTCCAGAGAGGGAGAGGTTGGGAGGATAACATCCCCTTTCTCAACAGGAAGGGGACACAGCTCTACACGAGGCTGTGCGGCATGGCCACTACAAAGCCATGAAGGTGCTGCTGCTCTACGGAGCCAAGCTGGGTGTGCAGAATGTGGTGAGTCTGAGCAGGGCTGCGGCGCTGGCCCCCGGGTCCGAGGATTGGGGGTGGGGCTCCCGAGGAGGAGAAAGGGTTTAATTCCGTATCCTTGTTCCCAGGCTTCAGTGACCCCGGTGCAGCTAGCACGAGACTGGCAGCGGGGTATCCGGGAAGCACTGCAGGCCCACGTTGGGCATCCCCGCACCCGGTACTAGTGACAGCAGACCTACAGCGTCACTTCACAGCCACCATTCCATCCCCTTCACCTCCCATCCTCACGCCCTCAGTCGTCCACACCCCTCTGTGGGTCTCACCTCAGTCCTCATTCCTCTGGCCTGGGGCTGCTTCCTGAGGCCAGCAGGTGAATAAAGCAGGCGTCCCTGGCCCCCGAGGCAGGGAAGACTTGGTCCCTGCCAGAGCACAAGCTAGGAAGGGCTGATGCAGAGGACCACAGGGAAGCAGGGAACAAAGTGGGTCCAGATGAGGAACGAACGGTGTAGGGAGAGTGGGAATCCAGGATGGAGCGAAAGTGGAAGTCCTAAACCTCGAGCTGCCCAGGGTTGGGTACTAGATGTCCTCGGTGTCCCCTGGTCCTCAGTCTGGGAGACTGTGCCCTTCCCTCCTGGGTGGGGATTCAGTACTTGGCTAGTAGCTGCCCTGAGGCAGGGGTGTCTCTGGGGACTCCATTCCTATCAGCAGCAACCCTGATAGCGTGTGGAGTGCTCTATACAACTTTGGCCTTAGGGATTCTGGAGTTGGGTCTGGCCGTCTGGAGGGGATGCTCAATAGGTCTGAGGCCCCACCGCAGCAGAAGCCCAGCACCAACTGGTTGCCTCAGAAGCCCTAAGGCTGAGGAGCTAGAGCTGAGGTTTTATTTTAGGGAAACTTTGTGCCTACTGCCTCAGGGCTCTGGTCAGCCTGCTGCTCTCTAGTTGGCCAGCTGGTGGCGCTTCTTGTAAGGGTGAAGTGCCTGGGAGCTGGGGATTGCTTGTGGCCCACCCAGCTTTTGGGGTGGTGGCCCGTAACCCTCCTTTGCCCCAGGCAACATCCCCCTGGCCCTAGAGCTTGGGCTCTTGCCCGCACCGTGCAGCTGCACCTGCTCTGCTTTCTCCCACTGCTGAGGCGGGACACCGAGGAGCTGGTGGCTCAGTCCTGGAGGGGAAGCAGAGGAGTGAAGAGCACACCTGCTGCTTTCCCTCCTCTGCGAAGTGGTGGCAGATTTAGGACCCAGTCTCCCACAAGCTCTCCTAAAGGCCCCTCCCTTTCACTCCCTTTTCCGTTCCATGGCGCAGACCCTTACTGCTGGCAGGACTGGGTCCTGAACTGGCAGACAGTGAATTGTAAGGAACTCTGTCCTAAATGGAGAACTACAAGCGGAGGGCCTGGCTTTAAAATGAAGGGCCAGCCTCCCTCATGTACATAAGGCACCTGGATTGGCGGTCTTCTCAGGCCAAGCATAAGGCTATTCTTAAGATATGAAAAAGTGACTAGAGCTCCCACTGTGGGGGCCGCACACCTTCCTTCTCACGGGACAGCTCCTGCCCTGCGGTGTACTGTAAGGACAGTCTGCCCAGATGCCAGAGCCGTATTCAAGTCCATGAAGGAGACAACTCCCCATCTAGAAAATGGGGACCCTTACGTGACAGACAAAAACACTGTTTTATATGCATAAATATTTTTTGTTCATTAAAACTGGTTGACTATCCATCACAGCCTGCTTGTCTGTTCTGAGCTGGGAGGGGCCAGTTCATTAGGTGCAGGGCCTGGTCTTCCTCAACAACAAAGCTCAAGCCTGTTAACCATACTGGCCTGACAGCAAGATGGGCTCCCGAATGGGGAGTCCAGGCACTTCGACTCAAGTGCTCAAGGCCTCACTCACTCTCCAATGGACAAGTTCCAAGAGCACTGGTTCTCAGCCTTGGCTGCTTATCACAACCATGAATGAGGGAAGGTTTTAAAAGTCCTGATGTCCAGGGGTTCCTAGGTGGCTCAGTCAGTTAAGCTTCTGACTTGATTTTGGCTCAGGTCATATTCCTGCTTAAGATCCTTTCCCTTTGCTCCTCCCTCCCCTTTTTCTCAAAAAAAAAAAAAAAAAAAATCCTGCCTTCCAAGCTAATTAAATCAAGTGTCACCACTATCATGCAGATGACATGCCTGGCTATACATGAAATCCTTAAGGATCTAGGAGTTCAAGATCTCAGGATATAAAACAAACCTACAAGGCCTATTTCTATGCATTAGCAATGACCTACATGGACATGAAAGTTAAAAAAACAGTATCACTTAAAATTGCCTTTAAAAACGAAACAGTACTTAGGTGTAAATCTAACAAAACATTTAAGGACTTTTATGTTGAAAACTGCAACACACTGATGAATGAAATTAAAGAGTTAAAATAAATGGAGACCTACCTTGTTCGTGGATTGGAAGATGAGACCTAGTATAGATAGTTCGCCCCAAATTGATGTACAGGTTTAATGCAGCTCCTACCAAAAATCCCATCAAGATTTTTTTTGTATGTAAGATTATTTAGAAACTCATGGCGAAAACAGTTTTGAAAAATAAAGTGGGAGGAACTGGTCTACCTGACTTCAAGACTTCATATAAAGCTACGGTAATCACGACAGTGTATTAGTGGAGAGACACACACAGATCACTGAATGGAACAGAACAGACAATGCAGACATAACTGATTTCTGACAAAGGTGCAAAAGAAAATAATAGAGGAAAGCCTGTTCAACAAATGGTGCCCAAGCAACTGGACACCTATAGGCTGGAAAAAAACAACAACCTTGGGCGTCTGGGTGGCTCAGTTGGTTAAGCGTCCAGCTTGATTTCAGCTCACGTCATGCTCTCACAGTTCATGAGATCAAGCCCTGCATCCGGCTTTGTGCTAACAGCAGAACCTGCTTGAGATTCTCTCCCTTCTCTCTCTGCCCCTCCCCTGCCCACATGTTCTTGCTCTGCCTCCCCCTCTCTCTCAAAATAAACATTAAAAATAAATACAACCTGGGGCACTTGGGTGGCTCAGTTGGTTGAGCGTCCCACTTCAGCTCAGGTCATGATCTCCTGATTTATGGGTTTGAGCCCCGCGTTGGGCCCTGTGCTGACAGCTAGCTCAGAGCCTGGAGCCTGTCTTTGGATTCTGTGTCTCCTTCTCTCACTGACACTCCCCGGCTCACGCTGTCTCTCTCTCTCAAAAATAAACATTTAAAAAAAAAACAAAAAACTATAACCTAAATCTTGAACAAAAGCTAACTCAAAATGGATCACAGACTTAAATGTAAAACAAACTATAAAGATTGTGGAAAAATATAGAAGGGGCACCTGGGTGGCTCAACGAGTTAAGCATCCAACTTTGGCTCAGGTCATGATCTCACGGTTCCTGGGTTCAAGCTCACATTGGGCTCTGTGTTGACAGCCTGGAACCCGGAGCCTGCTTCAGATTCTGTATCTCCCTCTCTCTCTGCCTGTCCTCCACTTACACTCTCTCAAAAATAAACATTTGAAAAATTAAAAACAATCTTTGGGATCTAGGACTAGGTAAAGAATTATTAGACATGATACCAAACACACAATCCATTAAAGACAACAGTAAACTGGACTTCATCAAAATTAAAAACTTTTGCTCTATAAAGAATCCTGTTTAGAAGATGAAAACATAAGGGACTGGGAGAAAATATTTGCAAACCAAAAATCCAACAAAAGCTTAGTATTTAGAATATATAAAGAACTCTCAAAACAACAGTAAAAGATCAAACCAATTAGAAATGGGCAAAAGATGGGCACCTGGGTGGCTCAATTGGTTAAACATCCAACTCTTGGTTTCAGTTCAGGGCCTGCTTGGGATATTTTCTCTCTCTCTGCCCCTCCCCTGCTCATGCTCTCAAAATAAATAAAACTTAAAATGGGCAAGGGGTACCTGGGTAGCCGTCAGTCAAGCGTTTGACTTCAGCTCAGGTCATGATCTCACAGTTTGTGGGTTTGAGCCCTGCATCAGGCTCTGTCCTGACAGTTCAGAACCTGGAGCCTGCTTCACAATTTGTGTCACCCTCTCTCTGCCTCTCCCCCAGCTTGTACTTTCTCTCTCAAAAAATAAAACATTAGAAAAAAAATTTTAAGGCAAAAGAACAGGTATTTCACAAAAAAACCACATGAGAAGATATGCATCATCAGCCATTCTGTTAGTACAACTGGAAGCCATATCACTACATACCTGCCTAATGGCTAAAAAAAAAAAAAAAAATGGTGACAATACCAAACTGGATCACTCACACATCAGCTGGTAGGAACATAAATTGTACAGCTACTCTAAAGACATGTAGCAGTTTGTTTAAAAAACTAACCAGAGGTGCCTGGGTGGCTCATTTGGTCAAGCCTCTGATGTAGGCTCAGGTCATGATCTCATAGTTCATGAGTTTGAGCCCCACACTTCAGGCTTTCTGATGGCAGTGCAGAGACTGCTTCAGATCCTGTGTCCCCTTCTCTTTCTGCCCCTCCCATGCTCCCCCCCGCCGTGCTCTCTCAAAAATAAACATTAAAAAAAAAAAAAAAAGACTATGCAATGACCATACAACCTAAAAATTGCATTACTGGACATTTATCTCAGAAAACCAATGTTTACACAAAAGCTTGTAATGAATGTTCATAGCAGCTTTATTTGGAATAGCCAAAAACTGGAAACCACCCAGATGTCCTTCAACTGGACAATGAGTATATCAAGGAATACAACGCAGTAATCAAAAAGAATGAACTACTGACACACGCAACAACCTGGATGTATCTCTGGAGTATTATGCTGAGTGAAAAAAAGCCAATCCCAAATGGTTACATATTGTATGATCTCACTTACACAACATTCTTGAAATGACAAAATCTTAAGACTAGTGGTTGCCAGGGATGAGGGCTGGAGGCCGAGGGGGTGGGTGTGACTCTAACAGGGTGCCCGGAGGGAGATCCTCGTGGTGACGGGGTAGCTCTATCTAGGTCGCAGTGGCGGTTACACAAATCTACCTGTGATGACAAAGAACTATACACCCACATTGTGCCAGTGTCAGCTTCTTGTTTTGATACTGTATTACAACTATGTAAGAAGTAACCATTAAGGAAAACTAGGTGAAGGGTACCTCTAGCTTTGTAACTTCCTATGAATCTGTAATTGTTTCAAAATAAGAAGTTAGTTAAGGAGAAAAAAGTAAGCAATAATTCTAAATGCAACTTGGTATCCTGGATTGGATCCTGCAATAGAAAAAGGACATTATTGGAAAAACTGATATAATCCAAGTAAAGTCTGTAAATTTAGTTAACAGTTCTGTACCAATGTTAATTTGTTTTAGTTCTGAGAGATGTACCAAGGTTATGTAAGAATGTTAACATTAGGGGAAGCTGGATGAAGGGCATATGGAACTCTTCTGGGAGCCTAAAATTATTTCAGGGGTGCCTGGCTGGCTCAGTCAGTAGAGTATGCAACTCTTGATCTCAGGGTTGGGAGCTCAAGCCCCACATTGGGTATGGAGCTTATTTTAAAAACAAAGAAAAAATTTTAATTAAAACTATTTCAAAAAACTAAAATCCTGATACCCAGACCGATGAGGCTCCCTGGAAGGTGGGCCCCAGGTATCCCGTATTTTTAATTTGCTAGGTGATTCTAATGTGCAGCCAAAGTTAAGAACCATTGTTCTGGAGAAGAGATGATGTTGAAGTATCTGTTTCCCACCTGGGTTTGCTCTTAGACTTTCTGGAGAACAGTTTCTAAGTGAGCATGCCATTGTTCTTTGGCCTTCATTCCCACTGGTCCCAGATAAGGGACTCAAATTCCTTTGAGAAAAGCTCCAGAAATCCTCCTCCCTCCCTATCCAATCTGAGATCCTAGGTCTCTGTGATGCCCCAGTTTCTCCACAGCTGAAGAACTGTGGAAGGTAAGGGGTAAACCAGAAGAAAATACAAATGCCTTCTTGTTCCCAATTCTCTAAAACCCTGTAGCTAAGAACAGCAAAAAAGCAGAGAGCTGAAACGTTTCAGAGATGTAAGATCACCTGATGTCATGTTCTTTTTCTTTTTTTTTTTTTTTTTCCAAGAAAGGGCATGAGGATCATCCCTTCCCTCCCTTGCTGTTCTCCCCGAAAATTACAGCCACACAGCCCTCCAGAGGCCTAGGAAGAAGGTACAAAAACAGGTCTGACAGTTGGTTACTCTCCCTGGAATCAGCAACTAACAAAGGATTAGGTGCAGCAGACCCCTTCCTCCCATGTGTGACCTCTTCTTAAAACACAGAAAAAAGACAATACTGTTAGTGGCAACTAAGCAAGACAGGCTGAGGCGCAGAAGGAGCAGGACTCCTCAGTGCCACGGGGGGGCCAGTCTTGCTTGCTCAGGGCTCTGAGCTGAGGGCTCAGAGAAGCAACCTCCACAGGAGGGAGCAGGACAGTGGGACATACTTGTGGGTCATCGTGCTTCTTCTACGTTTGGCACACGGGACGGGCAGGGGCACGTGCTTAGAAACATGGCATTGTAAGGGAAGCCAAATACTTCACCATGGCCAAGGTCATAGATGTGAACCCCCAGCCAAAACTAGTGCTCTTGGTTTGCCCAAAAAGTGCTGCCGGCAGCAGAAAGTTGGCAAATTAAAAGCAAAGCGAGTACAGGTCACGGCCACATAAAGGCAGTAATCATGTACTCACATCATGGCTTGGCCCAAAGAGGTATAAATACGCTGCACTGTCACAGGGAGAAGGCTGGGTCCTGGGGACCGGAGATGACAGTGTTCTTCCCATTCCCTTCAGAAGCAGGCCTGGAGGGCTGCGCCCCAGCTGATCCCCATTTCCTAAAGGAGAGCAGGACCTCCTGAAGGTTCCTGGCACCAAGGTCTGGTTCTGAGGACAGCCCAGGACCGACATCTATAAGGGCCATCTAAAACGTGGCCTGGAAGGGATGGGGACAGGCTGACGGGAAGCTACTCCTCGGCTCTCCAGTTCCCCACGTGCTTGTCCACTGCCCACACCTGGGGCTGCCTGGCAAGCAGTTAAACCCCTGGGTTCCGCCCAGGGCTCTCCTCCGCTGGGAGGCCGGGTCTGCTGTGGTTGGGCCCTAGAGGAGAGAGGGAAAGGAGAATCAGTATCAAAGCCAGTCAAGGGAGCAGGCCCTATCAGAACCCGGTGTTAAAATCATCTTTAGGACAGAAAGGGGCGGGTAAGAGAGAGAGGCCTCAGGACACCTCAGTATCAAGGCAGAGCTGGGAGTGAGGAGTTAGGAAAACGGTCAGGATAACTCCACATCACAAGAGAAAACCAGTGGGAGGAGGGGCTGCATCACGGAGAGGCAGGAAAGCAGGGCAGGGGGTTTCTGCTCACAGAAGGCCAAGGCCATACATGCCGGACAAGAGAAGCCCACCCTGGACAATAAAACACCTGCGCTGGAAGGACGCTTTAGTTTCCAGTGCCCACTGGGTACTTCAGGACCCCTCCTGTCTTCCAGAAAAATGAGAAGTGGCAACAAGGGACAGGAAGGGCCCACTCACCACCCCCACCCCCCAAGAGAAACCCTGCCAGTCAGGGGTGGGGGTGGGAGTGGTTTCCAGGGCTCCTCCCAGCAGCTAGAGGGCTGGGGAGAGAAAGCAAAGAGAAAGTGAAAGGGAAGATATTTACCTTGGGTGTTTTCTGAAAACAAAAAATGCTCACTAGTCCACAGTCAATTATCAACTGCAGTTTCCAAATGTGCCAAAGAGGGAAAGGTCTACGGGGAAGGCTAGAGAGAGCAGAGGGGAGAGAGACAAGAGGAGACCAGCTATGCAGCTGTGCCGGCAGGGCCTCGCGGCTTGGGCAGCACCGCGGGCACAGACGCGCCAGGCGGGGCGGGGGAGGGGGGGCAGACAGCTGCGTGCAAACCCGCTGCCCGAGCCTCAGAACCAGAGGGAGCAGGAAGTACAGCGTCTGGAGCGGGCTCGCTCTCGGAAATCAGCCCTGTGAGTGGTCGTTGTGCGGTAGTTACTCCGAGTTTGAAATGGCAGGCCAGGGGTCAGGAACCTTTCTATAAAGGGCCAGTATTTTTAGGGTTTGCAGGTCATATGGTCCCCGTGGCAACAATTCAAGTCAGATGCTGTAGCTAAAGGCAGCCATATACAATCCATAAACCAACAGGTGGGGTCCTATAGGACTTTATTTACAAGAACCGGCAGCTGGCCAGTTTGCTAACCCCTGCCGTAGGCAGTTAAAAATAATTGTGCCTTCCAAGCATCTCAGTAAAGGCATTTGTCTGCCAGGGAATCTAGTGCCAAAGTCAAGCAGGGGATGGTTCTGACCTGCACTATTTAAGCGATGGCCCCAGCGACAACTCCATGTACGTAGCGACACCAAGCTCTCCTGGGCAGCAGAGTGCCGCCCACCAGATAGACCGCAGCAAGAACTTCGGCAGCCAGGGCAGGGAGCACAAGCACAGCAGGCAAGTCCCACTAGGGACAAACGTCAGGCCGCACTCAAGGGAAAAGCAACATCACGGCAACGGAACAGGGTATGCTAATTCGTTACACAGAGGAAAGTGACCACAGAGCCACTGTGAGTTACAGGTTTCCCTGCTTTCTGAAAACAGAGTGTTCCTATGGAACCTTCTGTAAGCCAGAATGGCAGAGAGAGAAGAAACAATCACCGTTCCATAAAGCAAAAGTCCTCTTTGCATTTCTTTCAGTTAGTGAAAACAGGCACGAACGTCGATCTTTCGTAAAAGCAAAAAGCAGTACCAAGTGAACTTTCGGGGGATACCCATAGTCCCTTACAGGACTGTCCGGTGAGCAGCTGCAGCCAAAAAAAGACTTAAAGAACTGTGTGTGCGATGAAAGAGGGCATGGAGGTAAAACCATCGTTCCTACACTTAGGCCTACACCTTGAATACAACACGTGCAGTCTGAGGGGCAGATGGAGCCAGAGACAGTTCACATTGAGAAAACCAAAACCAACGCTCACATTTTGAAACAACAACATACTGGCTTTCGAGACCCAAGTCTACTGTGATGGTGTGAACCTCTATACAAGTGGCATCTCACAAAAGAACATCACAGTGGGAAAACACAGACCTGTGACTGGCCCTAAAAGGCAGACCACCTCTCAGTGCACATTCACAGAGAAAAGGCTCAAACGCCTGGATCCAGGGTTTGAACAGCACACCTCAAGCTGGGGCCCCCTTTTACCAACGCAGAGATGAAGCGTTCAGGGGCTGGGCCGCCAACGCGGCCCAGGGTGGGGCTTTGCACGTACACATCACCTCTCAAAGTACCTATCATAAAAACATATTCATGTTCTCAAGTGTGGGTTTAAGTAACCAGAGCTATTTTCTATGAGACGCCACAGCCCAGAGGCCAAGAGCAGGCACAAGCTCCAAACCAGAGTGCTTAGGTCTCTCTCTGCTTCTGACTCTTCATCTGTAAAATGCACCTAACTACTATCACCTCTGAAAATGGCTGGGAAGTTTTCTTAGAGGAGTTAGGATGAGGAAAACGCCTGGCACAGTGCCAGGCAGAGTAAGTGTTCAAATGAGCTCAGTGTCCCCCACTGCCTGGGGCAGCCAGTGGCCTCTTTGGAAGCCCCGCCCACTCCTCCAGAACCACTCTGCCCTGGAGTGTACCTCTGACCCCAACTCAGGAGCTCAATCAGGAAGAGTACATTCTTGAATAACAAGGCTAAGTTCCCTGACTTTTAACCACCCCTACCCAAAGCCCTCTCTCCATAGGCTCCTTTTTATTTTCCCTCCTTTCGCTCCTGAAGGCATGGTTTGCCATCCCCCAACCCATCCCAAGCTGCAAAGTCTATTTCTTCCAACGTGACGCTCCTACTCAAAGTGGAACCCCGGATGCAAAGGGCATGCCTTAAATGTTAGCTTGACCTGACCAATGTCAAAGCAAGTGCCCTTCTCAGTTTCTGGGATGGTGTCCATCAGCCACCTTCTGAGGCAGGCCCACAGGTGACCTAGATCTTCAATTTCCAGGCGGGATCTAACCCTAATCCTAAATGACCACGAGTCTCTGAGCTTGATCTTATTCCCACTTAGCAACTATTCTCTAATTAAGTTACTCCATCCTACTGGGCCCTCCAGAGAAGATGCTAACTTAATATACTTTCAACACCAGCTGGGCTACAGCGCAATGTCGTCTGAGTGAGAAGAAAAAGAGGAGAGGATGGGCAAAAAAGGGGACAGGGAAAGAAGAATGCAAGGCAGAGTGAGGGCAAAGAGAATGAGTGTGTGTGCGTGAGCAGCAAGGACAGCACAGGACATGCGCTCCCTCTGGGCTGGCACACCATGGGACGTGGCAATGAGGGGCTCACCTGCCGCTGCAGCTGTCTTGTCACCAAGGAGCTTGGTCCGGCTGCCTGGGACGACCTGGAGGTCCACGCTCTCCGGGGACTGTGGCAGGTTCTGGGCTCGAGTAGCCAGGAGTGCATTGAGGTACTGCAGCCGCGTGACCTGGCAGATAGGAAGCATGACCAGCCAGGTGCGACTCGTGAAGCCAGACGGAGAAAGTGAGGTATGAAAGATCACACCTCTCCCTCCTGCCCACAAGCACCAGAACCAGTCGAGAGAGTCACACTCAGCAGGGCCAAGAAAACTGAAGAGACTGAAGCTACCTAAGGGCAGAGGGAGCAATCAAGCAGTGCTTTTAAGATCTCAAAAGGAAACTGGGCGCACAGTCCCGGCGACAGGACTAGACTGCCAGCAGTCAGACGGGCCTCCAGGAAGAGCCAAGGCCATCTGTCCTTCAGAGCAAGTACAAGGCCTTGCTCTGTGAAGTCTCAGGTTGACTTAACTAGAATCTACTCTTAATCCATACAAATTTGTGACCAGCTGGTTCAGCCTCGAGAACACAAAGCCGGTTAAAAGCCAGTACCATTGAGCAGCCAGTCACCTTAATGAACTGTAGGTCGGAGAGGGCCCGCACGGTGTAGTCAGGACAGTATGCAGAGAAGCGGCCACTATCGGCTGGCTCAGGCTGCAGGTCGTGGCGGATGGACTGGAGCGAGGACACTGGGGACTGGTGAACTATTAGAAGGAACAAACAGTGACATCTCTGGTGGGGACAACTGCAGTCTCCAACATCCACCGCACAGATAACTAGAACATAGAGAAGGATGGCAAGCACGCCTCCTCCTGGGAAAGGCCGGCAGGGGAAGGAGCAACAAAGATGAGCCCCAAAGAAATGCTGCCCATTCCCGCTACGCAGCACAGAGAGGAGAAAAGCCAGCCCGTCCCAAAGAGGAATGTCTGACGGGACGGGGCAACTGGGTGGTTCAGTCCGTTAAGTTTCCGACCCTTGATTTCGGCTCACATCGTGATCTCACGGCTCGTGAGACTGAGCCCCAAGTTGGACTCTGAGCTGACAGCACCGAGCCTGCTTGGGATTCTCTCTCTCCCTCTCTCTGCCTCTCCCCCGCGTGCTTGCTTGCTTGCTTGCTTGCTTGCAAGCATGTGCGCATGTGCACTCTCAAAATAAAGAAACATTAAGACACACACACAAAGAGGAATGCCTGGAGGAAGGGGAGGCCAGAACCCTGGGCCCTGGAGAGCCCCAGCAAGCAGCCGGGCAGGTCAGGCTCTGCCCAGCCCAGCCGCCAAACCCAGCCTTCCGCTCCCAGGGCTGTGGCTTACCTGAGGACGGTGCTGTCAGGGCAGACACTCCATAGTAGGTGAAGGCCCCATTCTCGAACTTCAGGCCCTCTTTCCCGATCTCCACCTCAACCCTGCCCTGGGAAGTGGAAGGAAAGGGAGGAAGGAGGGGCAGGGAAAGAAATAGATGTGGACAGATTATCTTTCCTGCCAGAAGAGAGCACAAGGAGAAAGTAGCAGCCCCAATTATTCAGGGGGTGTGTATGTGGATGATCCTCCCTCTTCTCAGACCCTTCCCTAGTTTCTGAGCAAGTGGGAGGCCCCAGTCTGGGCTCCCAGTTACCTGCAGGATGAGAATGAAATAATCCACCGGCTGGCTGCGCTGGTACAGGTAATGGTGTGCAGCCAGACGGTTGCTCTCGTCAAACCTCACTTCCTGGTTGACGCTGGGATGCTTCAGCAGGTGCAGCAGGACCTTCTCGGAGATTCGCAGGGGGCTGAATACATCCACCTCTGCCCCGTGGTGGAAAAAAGGGACAGTGTCCACCAGGCCCAGAGTGGCCTGCACAGCCACACCCGACTCCTGCTGCCCCACACGAGCCAAGTCACCTCCCCAACACAAGAGAACTGGGCAGGCACACACCCACCCTCTAAGGCTCCCCGCTGTGTCTCGCCAGACGTGGCACCGGCCTGGCCCCAGCTCTCAGCCACCTGGCAGACAGAAGCTGCCCCTCAGGTGTCCTGAGATGCTGACAGGGCTACAGAGAGAAGCACAGAAGTTCCGGATACTGTCCTTACTGGGAATGAGGGGGCACTTGGTGTCTGCCTGGAGGTCTCTGGACCCACTGAACAGGGAGCAAGAGAGCAAAGACAAGGCCCACCCTACACCCTCACCTCGGGACAGGAAGCGCTGGGTGGCCAAGAGCAGCTGGGGCGAGATTTTCACTTTGTATTCATCGTCAGACACTTTGAACAAGGAGAATTCCTCTTTCCGCCTGAGAGGGGCACTCAGAGAAGCAGGCTTCTTCCTCACTGTGGCATCTCCTACAATGGCAAGAAGGCCTGCTGAGCCATCAGTAACCCTCCAATCAACATGACCAAACCAAGGCATGTTGCCAAGGCCTGGGGATCTTGGGGGTGAAAGGGGGCAGCGCCCATATTCCAGCTATATCCCAAGGGAGTAAGGAAAGCAACTGCTCCTGTCCTCAGAGTTGGGAGATAATACTGGTATGACAACAAGGCCGCTTATAAAAATAATAGGCATTCTTGGTCATTAAGAGACCCCTCACCAGAAAGCACGTGTTTACAGATAACTAGCGCTAAACAGCAGCAGCTGACCTGATGTCTGCATACCTATGGCAGCCGAGGCACCAAACTTCTGTATCTGAGGGACAGAAGCGTGGGCTAAGCGATTCACCTGATAACAAACGGGGGTGGGGGGTTCAGTGTCCCAAGTGTGCACGTGAGACCTCAGCCATTGAGCACAGGTTCTGCGTCTACCCTGCAGACCTCAGCCATCATCCTAAGAGGCAGACACTTCTAAGCCAGGCCCCAGGATCTTCTGTTTTGGAAAGACCCTCTCAGCAGTAAAGAATGGGATACTTGGAGGAGATGCTTCTGTAATGTACAAAAGAACAGGAGAAAGCCAAAGGGCCAAGGCAAACAGGAGATTGGGAAACGCCCAGAAAGGGCAGAGCCCCCTCCACGTGGGAGAAACCAAACAATGCGGCTGAGGCCCTAACAGGAGGGGCTACCGTGGCTCCACAGTCACGCGCAGGTGTGGGGCCTCCTGCAAGGGGGCAACAGTGACCTGAGGCAGGGATAAGGGGAGTGGGGCCTGGCTAGGTGACAGCTCTGACTGGAGATCCAGCCTCGTTTTCAGCAACATGGAGACTTCTTGTCCTCTGACGCGCACAACACGCCTCAGCAGGCTCGAAAGTGGAGATGCTACGCTGCCAGGAGTCAAGACTCACGGTAATCCTCAGACTCGTCCAGGATCTCAGACTTGATGATCTCCTCAATGACGTCCTCCAGGGTGACCAGGCCCAGCACCTCGTAGAAGGGGTCCCCTTCACCCTCGTTGTTCACCCTCTGCACGATGGCCANGGGGGGGGGGGGGGGGGATGCTCAGATTACAGCTTGCTGGGGGGGCGTCCCATTTTGCTTAGTCCCACCTGGTGGTACAAGCTCACCAGAGGGACAGAGGTTGATGTTTTCCCTCCAAGGTGCCAGGCACGAGGTGGGACTCACTTTACATCCAAGGAACCTAGATCTCAGGCAGTAAGTTCACGCACACAAGGCCACCCAGGTGGTGGCAGAGCGGAGGTGGCCTCTGGTCTTAATGAACGTGATGTAGACAAGGACGCATCAGACTAGGACAGATGCAGTGGGGCTGCACACACAAGGACACCAACTCCAGAAGCACGGCCTCCCCTGGGACAATCTAAACGGCCAAGCGGAGAGGGGCCACCCAGTGACTCTCCTGGGGACGTTTTCCTAATTCTGAAAGCTGTCCTTCATCTCCAGAAGCCAAGATCTATGAAAGTTATCCAGGTAGAGGATGGTAAGTGGTAGTCAGCCAGTCAGAGCCCCAGCTGTGTGGGAGGACGAGCAGCCACCCGGAACCTTTCACCCTCCTCTTCTTCAGGTTAGCTTCCTGTTTCTTTGATAAAGAAATGTAATCTTGAAAAAAAGCCTAAGTCTCAGAGTTGGGGGGAATACTGAGAAAACTTCAAGAATCTACTCTGCTTTTTATTTACAAAGCTTTATACCTGTCCAAAAGAAAAACAATGAAAGCTATACAGGTAATTTAAAATTTCTGAGTAGCCACATTAAACACACACACACAAACAGATGAAACTGACAACACAGTATCATTAACTAAATATAGTCAAAATATCATTATTTAATCAATATAAAAATATTAAAACAGGGATGCCAGGCTGGCTCAGTCAGTGGAGCATGTGCCTCTTGAGCTCTGGGTTGTGAGTTTGAACCCCATGTTGGATGTAGAGATTACTTAAAAATAAAATCTTAAAAAAATATTTAAAAAATTAATTAAAAATGTTTTAAAAATCATGGGCACCTGGGTGGCTCAGTCAGTTAAGCGTTTGACTCTCAATTTCAGCTTCGGTCATTATCTCACAGTTCATGGGATCGAGCCCCACACTGGGCTCTGCACTAACAGTGCAGACCTGCTTGGGATTCTCTCTTCCCCCTCTCTCTGCCCCTCCTGTGCTTGCTCACTCTCTCAAATAAACTTAAAAAATTTTTTAAATAAAAATTTTTTTTAAATGGAACATATTTTCCTTATTTGTACGGTCTTTGAAGTCTGGTGTGTGTTAGGCACATCTCAGTTCAGACCAGCTCAGTTCAGACAAGCTTTTAAGAACCACATGTGCGTAGGGGCTACAGACGGGGTTGTGCAGGGCTAGGATACAGAACTAAGAGAAACTCACCTCGGTCTTTGTTACTAATGAAAAAAGCTTAGGGTAAAAGCTAGCCTGGATCCACGTATGGGAGTATTTGCTTCAAGAATCTTTTGGTAAAGAAAAAAGTCAAGTTTACTTCTCTGTGTGAATAATAACCTTACATACCTTGGGTTTAATTACAGTGTAGTGAATGGAGTTCAGAAACACACTCTCTGGAACTCTGTCTGGCACACTCTGCCTCATTCTTTCAGCATTCATGCCCCACCCCCAGTGTCAGGTGCAGGGAGAGCTCTGCTCCAACTTTAGATTGAACAAAAATGTCCTGTCAACCAAAAGCTATTATTATTAGACCACTGGCCAGATGATCAAGAAAGGAATGAGGCTCTAAAAGAGAAAACACTTAACTATTTCATTAAATCTAAGATGTCCTCAATTATGAGATACACCCTGAGTGCAGAGAAGCTGAAACAAAAAAATGTGTGCCTAAGACGTGAAGGATTGTGACATTTCGTGCTTACTGCATGCTGGCCACTAAGTGCTTTATTCAGTTATTAACTTAGAAATCCTTCAACAACTCTATGAGGGAACAGGACATTATTCCCATTTACAGTTTGCAGAGAAAACTGAGACCAAGAGAAGGTTCAGTGACTCACTCAAGTGCAAAACCTGGATTTGATGGGCACCTGGGTGGCTCAGTTGGTTAAGCACCTGACTTCAGCTCAGGTCATGATCTCACAGTTCTTGAGTTCGAACCCCACATCAGGCTCTCTGCTGTAAGTGCAGAGCCTGCTTTGGATCCTCTGTTCCCCTCTCTCTCTCTCTGCCCCTCCCCTGCTTATGCATGTGTGGACTCTCTCTCTCTCAAACATAAACATCAAAACAAAACAAAAAGGGGATTTGAATCCAGGCAATTGGCTCCTGAATCTGTTCTCTTAACCACCACACTCAACTGACTTTCACTGGAGAGAGCAAAAAATACCCCAAATCTTAGGAAACCCTCCCCTCTTGGTGAGTTATACATGGCCAAGGTACTCTCCAGCACAGGGGTCCTCCTAAAGAAAAGAAGGTATCGTTATCCAGGATGCTCTAACATCCTCAGACAAAAATTAAAGGCAGATATGACTACTCCACCTCCCCCTCTTCCAGGAGGAAAAGGCCAGGGGTTGCCTAGAACTACCTGCTCATTCCTGCTGAGACAGAAGCATTGAATGAGGAACACAGCACAGATTCTAGATGCTTCCCACCACTGGGTATCTGTGTGGGGAACGGCTCACATCGGCAGACAGACATCATTTCTACCAGGGCCAAGGCAAGGCCCTTGTAGGACAGGCCTTATGGGGAAAGACCAAAGCTCAACAGACAACTTTGGTCAGATTCTGGGAACCAGAGCCCAGGTTCTAGACGACCATGAGAGAGAGAGAGAGATCATTTCAGCACCATTCTTTCAGAATGCCAGTCGCTTTGGCAGGTTACCCTTAGAATGGACTAACTGCTCCTTGCTTTCAAGCTTTTTTTTAATTAATTTTTTAAATGTTTATTTATTTTTGAGAAAGAGGCAAGGGAGGGACAGAGAGAGCAGGACACACAGAATCTGAAGCAGGCTCTAGGGTCTGAGCTGTCAGCACAGAGCCTGACATGGGCTCAAACTGATGAACAAAGAGATCATGACCTGAGCTGAAAGCAGATGCTTAACAAATGAGCCACCCAGGTGCCCCCAAGCTTTTTTCGTTTTTGAGAGAGAGAAAGAGAGAGAGAGAGAAAATATGAACATGCCATGTGTGAATGGAGGGAGGGGCAGAGGGAGAGAGAGAATCTTAAGCTCCATGCTGAATATGGAGCCTGATACAGGGATGGATCCCACAACCCTGGGATCATGACCTGAGTCGAAATCAAGAGTTGGATGCTTAACCAATCAAGCCACCCAGGCACCCCACTTTCAAACTTCTGTAAAACAGGCACAAGTTTCTCAGTGACTTGCCACTCAATATCAAACAAATGAAAGCAGAGCCCTCCAAAGATCCCCTAACACGATGGCCATGTAATTTATCCCCAGACAGAATGTCTGAGGGGCCCAGAAGGCAACCATGAAAAAGCAGTAGGGGTACACACAGAAGAGGCGCTGGAGGGATTAAAGTTTACTTCTCATCTGATAGGATAAAACCACCCTGAAAATACAGAGGCCCCTGGCTGGCTATCTAGAAACACTAACACAGGCCCCAGGATGGGTTCCTACAGGTTCTCCCCAAGAAAGTTCTATGCAGCCATAGACAAGGGGCAGACAGCATATCTTCCCAACATCAACCAGAAAGCCTTGCCAAAGCTCTATGGAGTTTTAATTTTAGTTAGCAAGCTCAAACGTACTCAGTTACATGGATGCTAGAGAACTCTTCCATAATGCCTAATTTCTAGGATATTTGCAAAACCACAGTTGGAGTTTAAATTCCTTTGCCTTCCTTTATTTTTGAATATTTATTTATTTTTGAGAGTGAGAGAGAGACAGAAAGAGACAGAGCACAAGCAGGGGAGGGGCAAAGAGAGAGGGAGGCACAGAATCTGAAGCAGGTTCCAGTCTCTGAGCTGTCAGCACAGAGTCCAACACGCGGCTCGAACCCACAGACCGTGATTACATGACCTGAGCTGAACCGACTGAGACACCACCTTCCTTCATTTTTAAAGCAACTGTGAGAACATGTCCTAGGAGAAAAGTGCCAGGATAACATTCCTCACAGCAGCTCTGACCCTTTACAGAATCATAGGGATCCTCTGGCTTCTGACAATGAATCAGAACTCAGTTCATTTAATTTTTTTTTTAATTTTTTTTTATTTATTTCTAGGAGAGAGAGAGAGAGACAGCGTGAGCAGGGGAGGGTCAGAGAGAGAGGGAGTCACAGACTCTGAAACAGGCTCCAGGCTCTCAGCTGGCAGTCAGCACAGAGCCCGACGCGGGGCTCGAACCCACGAACGGCGAGATCATGACCTAAGCGAAAGTCGGACGCTTAACCGACTAAGCCACCCAGGCGCCCCAGAACTCAGTTCATTTAAAGTAGAGACTCAGGGGGCGCCTGGGTGGCTCAGTCAGCTAAGCGTCCAACTTCAGCTCAGGTCATGATCTCACAGTTTGTGGGTTTGAGCCCCGTGTTGGGCCCTGTGCTGACAGCTAGCTCAGAGCCTGGAGGCCGCTTCCAATTCTGTGTCTCCCTCTCTCTGACCCTCCCCTGCTCACGCTGCCCCTCTCTCTCCGAAATAAAGAAAACATTTAAAAAATTAAAAAAAAAAATAAAGTAGAGACTCGGAAAAGCTCACACATCCTAATTCCTCCTTTGGTTGAATGTCCTTGAATATTTTCACTGGGGAGGTTGACAAAGATGACCTGAGTAAAAGTTAAAAAAAAAAAAAAAAATACATGTTATTTAACACAGCTCCAAAGCATTCACTCTTCCTGGTAATGTTTGCACAAAATAATCAGTGTCATCTCAAGCCTGCACACTAACTAAGCGGCACCTTGCCAGAGAAGATGCCTCTCCCAGACTATAAAGTTCCAAAACAGACAGTGCTCTGAAGGAATGAAAGGAACAGGGCCTGGAATGGTAGCTGCCAAGATGCCAAGGACTCCAGCTTCAAGAAATTCAGAGGGCACCACCTCACACACTTGGCAGAGAGATGGGAAAGGAATCGATTTCTAAAACCTCAGGCGCCATAAAGGCTGCAATATGCTCTTTGTTCATAGGCAGAAAGAAGGAAGGGGTAAGGCTACAAAGGACTTTAATGACGAAAAATAGATATCCGCCAAAGGACTGCACTGCAAAGAGAAGCCTCCACAATGTCAGAGGAAAGACAGTCAATCTGCCCCGAGAATGCCCCCCACTTGCCACAGGAGGAGGAAGGCAAGGAGGACTGAAGAGCTCCCCATTCGAACTTCAGGTTCCCCAGAGCTGCTCCAAGGCCACCACCCGTGAACAGGAGCAGCCTGGACTATGGGCCTTCTCTCCCTACCGGCTCCTTCCGATCAACCTTTAAACCCAAAGGCACCTAACTCACCCATCTTAAAACCAAAGAGCAGCCTCTAACCTCCCCTGCCAGTCCTCTCCCAACCACTGCTCTCTGGCTTCCTCTTTGTAGCCATACCTCATGGAAGGTCCATCTACTTCAACTGTCACATTCCATCACCCCACACCGCAGCACCAAATCTGTTCTCGCAAAGGTCAAGGGTACCCTGGTTGCTAGATCCAAATGACAGGACGCTGGCCTCTCCTGAATCATCCCCCTTTCCTTGGTAAGTGGTCTCTTCCCTTAGCTTCTAGGACCTTCTGAACCTCTGGCTCTCCTCAGCAGCCTCTCCTCTGCTACCCTCCATCCCTTATATGCTGTCTCCTCAGGCCTCCTGCACCATTCCTGCGGCCTGACTGAGGGACCACTGCCATACCAACAACCAGATCTTTATCTCCTGCTTAGGTCTTTACCTCGTATTTTTCATCAACTCGTACAGCCTGCCCCTTGGGACACTGCATAAACAAATCCCAAAATTCCAGTGTCCAGAACAAATTCGTCTGTGCCCCCCGCAACACCACGATGATCCCCCTTCCTGTAAGTGCTCTGCTTCAGGGAAGGGCACCACCACCCCCAAGCCTCACCCTCAGCTCCTCCCTCTCACTCCACAGCTCCTCAGGGAACCAGAAAGCCCTCAATTCCACCTCTGAATACCCTCTTGGACCTCCTCTCAAGGCCCACTGCACACCCTTGCTCAGCCTACCGCCGTTTCTTAGCTGGACCCCCTCATTGGTCTCCACACCAGTCAGTTCTCTGCTCAAAGTCAGTGCCCTAGAGATCAACTCCAGCCTTCCCCAGGGTCTCAGGCTGGGGGGTGGCAGAGGCAGAATGGAACCCTCCTCTGTGGACTCCAGGGCCTACAGTGCTGGCCACCAGGCTCCAAGAAGTTCCACTGCCAGGGAGACTACAGTGGCCCAGAGAGACAGTACTTAACCACTAGCAGGTCTGGCCCCTACCCAGGGCTCCCCTCCCCCAGAGAGGGGCTGCATAGCCACTTTCTAGGGAAACAGCCAGAAGCACCCAAGAGATTCTCTAGCAGAGCAGTCAGAGCTGCCAAGCAAAGTCTCCCACCCAATCTTCAGGTACAATAATGACAGTAACTGCCCAACTATTCAACACCCAAGCCATGACTAATTATTCAACACCCAGGCGGTCTGGGGCCAGGGCACTTCACAGCTGACAAGCAGATGAGGGGGCTCCGCTCTCTTCCCTGCCTCACATTATGCAGCCTTTAGGCTCAACCCCATCCACAGTCCTGGGTGTCTCCCATGCTCATCCTGCGGCAGTTCAGGTGTGAGACGCATGGCTGGCGGGCAGAAAGCAGCCAAGCTCTGGGGAACACACCCAAGCCTGATGATGGGGAGAACTGGAGAGGAACCCACGCCTTCACATTTGGGAGAGTGAGTCTAGGTTTTTACTAGCAACCTTAGAGTTGCTCAGACAAGCCAGGTGGAAAGAGAGGGTCAAAATGTGGAGTTAAGGGAGACCCTGAGAGACCTTACTCAGCATGAGAAAAGGGGGGAGTTAAAACAAACAAAAACAAAGACAGAGAAAGGGGAGACTAAATCAGCATCCATAAAGTGGCTTCCGGTGAAATCAAAGTGGCCGTTTCTTTCACATCTGCAGGAAATTAGGAATCATTCCTTCTGTTATCAGCAAAGCAACAGCTCGTCAGTGGTTTTAACAATGATCCTGGAGACATCACAGTCCCAGCTAATTTGATATTATGTGTGCCAATTAACAGCATCCAGGTAACTCGAGACTCCACTCTCTGCTACATTCTTTTAGTTTCTATTTAAGAATTTAGACCTGTTACAAAGCCAAAGCCCACAAAAATGACCCTAACAAAAAAAAGCTGGTGGGTTAGAACCAGGTGGATATAGGTCCCCAAACTAGGTCTACCAGGAAAGGGGGGGATTTTGCGGTCTATAGCGCTTGGAACGACAGCCTTTAAATAATAGTTCAAAAGGTCACTGACAGCTGCAAGGGCATCATCTAAAAGGGCACCTGGAGGCCCCACTGCCCTCCATGAAGATGGGACCCTTTCCTCGAGGCTTTCATAAACCTCCACTTTTTTCCCCGGCAGAGGCATTCGTGCCCCCTTCCGGATATCCCCACGTTACCTCGTTTGAACTCCTCTAGGACGGCGTCCAGCTTGGTGTCGTTGAAGACGAAATGGAGTGGATGGTTGTAAAAGCGGGTGATGGTGCTGAGTGGCGTGCAGTCTTCGGGGTCCACGAAGGCCAAGTCCTTGAGGTAGAGCATGTCCACGATGTTGGAGCGCTCCTCCTCGTACACCGGGATGCGCGTGTGGCCGCTCTGCATGATGCTGGCCAGGACGCCGAAGTCCAGCACGGCGCTGGCGTCCAGCATGAAGCAGTCCTCGAGCGGCGTGAGCACGTCCTCCACGGTCCGACAGCGCAGCACGCCTTTGCTGAGATCGCTGTAGGGGTCGCCGCCTCCGCGCGCCAGCTCCAGCACGCGCTCGCGCAGCCTCCCGGGCCGCGCCGCCAGCTCCAGCAACTGGCCCACGGGCAGCGCCACCGGCAGGGTCAGCAGCACGGCCAGGCGGCTGAGGAGCAGCGCGCGCGGCGCCAGTGCCAGGGCCCAGCGCCCGCTCACGGCGGCCGGCACCACCTCGCCCACCAGGAACACGAGCCCCGCGCTGCCCAGCACGGCGGGCACGGCACGCTGGCCGGCCGCGCGGTACAGCAGCACCGCCAGCGCCGTCTGCGCCAGGCTGGCCAGGAGCAACAATGCGCCCAGGGCGCAGCCAGCCCAGCGCCGCGCGGGCTCCAGGCGCCGCGCCGCCGCACGCTCGGCCTCCGAGCCGCTCTCGCGCAGCACCTGCACCTCGGCGGGCGCCAGCGCCAGCGCGCTCAGTTGCAGGCCCCGCGCCAGCGCCGCTAGCGCCAGCAGCCCCGCCGCCCCCAGGCCCAGCGCCCAGGGCGGCGCCGCCTCCTCAGCTGCCGCGCCGCCCGGCTCCACGCGCACGGCCTCGGCGCGCAGGCGCAGCAGCGCACCCCACTCGCCCGTGGGGGCCACCGCCTCCTGGGCCGCCGAGCCGTCTGGCTCCCCGCGCACCGCCAGCAGCGCCGAGTGCGGGCGCGCGGCCTCGGCGCGCAGGCGCAGCAGCGCGCGCCACTCGCCCGTGGGGGGCGCCGCGGCCGGCCCGCCCTCGGGGCAGCCCGCCCCCTCGGGGGCCACCCAGGACCAGGAGCTGTTGGCCAAACCCGAGCCGAAGACTCGCAGGCGGAAGGTGGCCTCCGGGGCGTCCCGCACCTCTCCTCCGCGCGCCCACCCCGCGTCCGCGACTCCGTCTTCCTCCAGACAGACGCCCAACACTCGCGGGCCCGACGCCGCCTCCCCAGCGGCGTTGCCCAGGCAGAGCGCGGCGAGCAACCAGCTTAGCCGACCCGCCGCCGCCGCCGCCGCCATCGCCTGCTGCCCCCTCTCGGCCTCCCGCGCAGCCTACCCCTCCGCCTCCCCCGGACCAATCGTCGCTAGCCTCGGCGCCTTCTCCGCCAATAGGCGGCGGGCGAGGGCGGGCCCCAGGGTCGGACTAGGCTGCGCCGGGGAGTAAACAAGCAGCGGCGCGATCGCGGGGCGGGCCGGGGGCGTGGGGCTCTCGGCCCCGCGGGGCTCAGCCGTGACTCCTAGGGCGAGAGGTGGCCAGCGCCAGGAGGCGCGGAATGGCGATCTGGGAGTCTGGTTCCCACAAGCTGTGCTTGCGCGCCCGGAGGCCGGGCTTGTGCTCTGGGAAGTCCATGACTCGGGGCGCGGAGCGGAGCGGCTTGCAGGCAGAGAGTTCAGTATTTGGCGGATGTGCCCTTTCTTAGCAAAGGGCCCCGTGAACCACTGACCTAGGAGCCAGGAGAGCCGACAGAAGACTGGACCTTGGGAAGCTCAAGTTTCTTGAAAATGTTTGTTGATTGCTCCCGACTGTGCTATAGGTCTGGCAACGTGAGAGAGCCCTTTGCCTTCAAGGAACTTGGTTCCTGCCAGGGAGAACGATGGTAATTATTTAACAAACGAAATCACTCCCTCTTTGGATTCTCAAAGCTGCTTTTACAGGAGAAAAGTGAAACATGACTTAGCATGGATGCTGGATTCCAACGCCACCTGCCTAATATCCTGGTCACCGTCCCAGCCACGCTAGCAGAGGGCAGCTCTGTCGGAAAGTATTGTTATGTGGTCACTTCAGTTCTAGCAGGTAATCCTCGGGAAAATATTTACTCAGGACCAACAAGAACTATTCAAGAAGGGAGTTTAGAAGACAGAATGGTTCATTGACAGTATGGAATGTTTTTCACCCATTATGTATGATCTTTGTGATTGGAAGGAAATAAACTGGGAACACAGGTGTCCAGATTGTGTTTTGTATTTTCTTTACATTTTTATGTATTTTCAAATTTCCTAGTGATAAAAGTACACTTTGAAAAGGGTGAATGTCATTTAAAATCTTTGTAAGGATTCTACAAAAACACATTTGAGGTCATGAAAATAATGTACTGTGGCCAGTTAAGGAAAATGTGTGGAAGGCATGTGTGCCTTAAATGTGTGCAATAAAGAGCAAATCCATGGTGAAAGACCAAAAGAAAAAAACACTTTGTGAAAAACTCTTCAAAGGATGGTAATAATGTCTTCAACATCTTAAAAACTTAGTGCTGTGACTATGCCAACTGTGGTCTCCATGTTTCCAGTTTGTATTATCCAGATGGTGCTATAGGCCTCACTTGCAGATTACAGAATAAGCCACCAGCAGAAGCAGTAATGACACCTACTGAGCCTTTCCACTGGATCAGCATGCATCCTCTGAAGAAAAAATAGATTCAGCCCCTTTACTTCGCACTTCTGTCTCCAAGTCCAGAGAAAATGCTGACATTGAAACAGAATGGATGACATGCCTAAAATGAAAGTAATGTGAAAAGTTAACTAGCAAAGAACAGTCCCAGAGGAAAGACAGAAAAAACTCCCTATGGATTTGGTCTCAGGTTCCCTTGGAAAACAACGTATAATCCATTTTCTGGAGAGAAGCTTTGGGTAGGACAATTGGATTGCACTTGCAAAACACAAACGACAATTGGATTGCACTTGCAAAACACAAACGTTCCCTTAAACTGTGGATACTCAAAGACGAAAAGGACGCAGTAGAACAAAGCTGCCGAAGGAGTGATTTTCTGTTAACAGTAGAGACCACAAGTGCTTCACCAGCTTCTTTCTCTGTTGGTTCTGCACTATTCTTTACCCCCACCCCTTGGGTAGTCACTGCATCAGTGGAGACACACTGCCACTTGACTTTCAGGTCCCTCGTGGATCCTTCCTGGGCCAGTTTCCTTACTGCTCATTTGGTTCAAAACATTTCCATGTTTCATCTAAATACCTAATCTTGAGTTGCAAACTCGTAACTATTGTGACTTCACAAATCCTTGCTTATTTCTCAAGTCTGCAAGTGTCATTTAACTCCAGCCCGTCTTCCTTGACCATCTCTTGACTAGGTTGGGTCAAGTTTATGGGAGCTTTGTGCTCTTCCCCAGTAGCATCCAGTGCTTACCTTCTTGTAAGACCCATTCATTCATTCATTCATTCATTCATTCAACAAGTATTTCCTGCATTGAGTGCCTGCAGTGTACCAGGTACTATTCTAGTGCTGGTACTCTGTGGGAATGAGAAAGGCCCTGCCCTCCTGGAACTTAGGTTCTAGTGTGGGAACAACAGACAATACACAAATCCTCATTTTACTATTTGGCAGTAAATGCTATGGAGCAAAACAAAGCGAGATAAGGAAATGGACAGAGGGATGGGCACCATGCTATTTTAGATGGGGTGACCAGGGAAGTCTTCTCCAAGGAGGTAACATTTGAACCGAAACTTAGATGTAAGGGAGGGGGTGAGCCTCACAAAGACCTGGGAGAAGAGTTCCATGTGTAGGACACAGGAAGTCAGAAAGTTCTGGTGTGACTGTCTCCCTCAAGGACTCTTCCTCACTAAACTCACTGAGGAGTTGGTGGCACCTGGCATGTAGCAGGGGCTTAAACACGTGTGGAACATACAGTCAGATGACATTTATTCTCATGTCCACCTATACACAAGCTTTTGCATCTGCTACTTTATCTAGAATGTCCTATTTTCTCCCCTTTAAATATTCCCCCAATTTGTCTGCTCTGTTAAGCCTGGCTTGCTTGAGCCTCTGGCCTCAGCACACTCAATTACAAAGCACAGCCACAGCACCTATGGGCCCCTCACAAGTCTGCACAGCAGGAACCTCAAGAGTGGATGCGGTGAGGTGATTCTCAGGTGGGCTCTTCAGGGGATGAGCTCTCTAACTTTGAGAACTCCACCAACTTCATGAGCAAGGACAAAAAGGCAACTGCATCTTATAAAACAACGTGGTCATACTTTTGGATAAAGCTTTCCCTTCAGCCCCCAGGGGAAGGAGAAGGGGCGATGTGCCCATTCTGTCTGCCCCCTCTAGTACCTGCATTTTTACAAGATCCCTCATTGTGGCAGTTGAGCACATCTGCCCTGCACAACTGACAGCAGCTGGCACTCTCTAGCTCCTGTGACAACAGCCTTGATTACATATGTTTTGTAAATTTCTGCTTTCCTTTTCACTGTTAAACTGTCCCAGAATACTTGCCCCTAGCCCTGTCACAGGTGATAGCCAACCACAGCCACTGTCTTTATGACAGGTACCAAATACTGACAGGACTCAAAGAGGCAAATGATAGACTCACCAAGATTTCATGTTTCATTTTTTATTACCAATCAAAAATAAATTCCATATATTGTTTAGCAAATATTATCACTGTCTTGTGACAAAAGACACAAGAGTCATAACAACAAAACTCCCCGAGAGTCAAACTCATAACAATGCCAAAATAAATCACAAAAATATACAAATTAAAATCTTATGCAAAATAAATAGGAGTTACTTGCTATGGTGGCTGTGACTTGCCTACCCATTTGGAGGCCATTTGCGAAGGTCTCCCTTACACAGGAAGACACGCAGGGATGGGCCAGTTCCAGGGTATGGCTCGGCCCAGGAACCAGAGGTTGGAATAGGAAGTGAAAAATTGCACTGGGAGGAGGAAGTCATCGGACCAGTAATATTTGGAAATAATTATGACCCTCTGCAAGAAGTGATTATAAATGGGGAAAGGGAGGGGGAGGAGGGACCATCTGTTGGTAGTAACTGTGTGTGCAAAGAGGTAGCTGTGGAAGTGTGTGCACCTGCTCCTTTTACTTCACACACACTCACTTGGTTCAGGCCAATACGGTCTGCTCCACCTGGCACTCAGGTCTCTCAGGAACACAGCTTTGCAAGCTCCCATGTGGACTCAGAGAGCAAGCTGCTCCTGTAGAAAACTGAGGGGTTTCCCCCAACAGGGAATAAAGGTCTAGTGTCTTTTTTTCTCATGCCTGAGAACCCATGGGTGTTACCACCTTCTCTCCAGACTTTTAGGACTAAATTCTGTGACTGGGGAAGATTTTAAACTGGCCAGGCAAGTAAGTATGCTTGGTACAAGACATTTCCTGGTCCCAAGAGTTAGGGTTCTCCAGGCGCCTGAAGAACAGAGTACTTGGGGTGACAGAAGTCACTGGCTGAGGAAAGGGTCAATAAATACTACTGAGGTGGAAGGCCTGCAGAGTCTCCCTCGCCTGATCTTGGGCCCCGGGCAACTGTTCCACCCGATGAAAGGGCCAACATGGACCTTGGTCCCACGGCCTCCCCAACAGCGGCAAGCCTGGAGCCCTGCAGCAGGGCCCAATCCAGCCCCAGGGAAAAGGTGCTGGGGTGGAACTTCGTGTGCGGGTGGAGCTCTCAGGATCCAGTACCACTAGCTTCAGCCAAGGCCAGGATGACAGCTCAGGCTAAGATTACAAAGATGGGGCAACAGGGCTGTGGGCCTTTTAGGTAGAAACTTCCTTTCTTGGGTTTTGTACGTGTGTGAACAGGGGTTGAGTAAGCCTCAGCCACACAGGAAAGGGCACGAAGAACCTTAGGTTGGCTTCCTATGTGTCCTGTTGTCCTCAATTCCCAAGAGACATTGGGGTTTTGAGATGAGAAGCAGGGAGTCTGGAAAGAAGGGCTTCACAGGTCAGTGACTGACACTTGACTTACACTGTGGGGTGGGAAGGGGGATGGATCAATTGCTAACAACACATGCCCATGACCAGATTCCCTCCTGGAATGGAAAGGAGTATCTCAGACAAGTCACCCGTAATGTAGACAGATGCTCTCCCACCTAGGGGGAAACCTTTGACAAAAGTAAGGGCAGGGCCTGGGGAGCAGGGGTAAGCAATCTTAGAGGTGTTGAGACCCTGCTTAACACTCAGTCAAACCAGTGGAGGCAGGGGTGAGAGTCCTCAGCCTAACCCAACTCACCAGAAGAGCCCATCAGCAGAACTGTAGGAAATCCCGGGATCCAGCGATT